AACACGGCGAAGCACTAAGACATTTCTTTCTAATTTCATACGCGCTTTATTTATACGTCTGCTAAGCGCATTTTTACACCTTTCTACAGTAAACCCTCGCTAACGAGGTTACACTTAATCCGGGCTGAAACATGAAAAATGCTGTTCACAGTTCAGTATATACTTTACAAGACACGTGGCATTTAGGAAGGTGGGTGAGTCGCTTGTCTGTTCATACAAAACTTGACAGTTTTTTTAAACCTGCATTATTACGTTCAAATAAAACTTCTGAGTCTTCCATCCATGAATAAATGTACTGATTCTACACTGAAATTCTGTTATTTATTTTCAACAGCACTATTTATATTATTAAATTTTATATTTATCTGTGTTCTAAGTTTTGTTTGTCTTTTAGGGCTATCTTTTGCTTCACTAATCCGGACTGTCCCCCCCCCCGCGAGTACTCCAGATTAGCGGGGGTTTAATGTACTTGTGTCTGGGAATGTGTGACCTATACAAGCTGAACCATTTAACCTTATGACCTTATGACACAAGATGCACGAAACCAAATCTGCTTTCCCTTTTACTGGTTAAAGGAAAAGTTGTCCCTGTGCTTAACTGATTAAGCACTATGCCATGAAGGCGTATTGGGGAGTGGATGTATAGATCCACATTTTCTTGACCTGGACACTAGTTGGAGGTGAGTGGTCAGTTTCACGCCCTTGCCGCTTTAGCCCCGGAGAAAGAGTCCCCGGTACCCATTAGATAGGAGAGTAGGCGGGCGCCAGAGCCGGTCTGGGAGACATGGAAAGACAAAATTCTTGACCCTGCCGGGACTCGAACTCAGACCCCTCCATCGACCAGCCCGTAGCCAGTCACTGTACCAACTGAGCTATCTCGGTTCCTTTTTTTATTGCTAGTGTGGTGGGACTAAGTCCCTTGTACTGCGGCAACTTTTGGACTATTGTACCAGCCCCAGATGATAGGTGAGGGTCACTGTGGAGCAGTTGGTGGAATGAAGATTGGCAGGGTAAACCGAAGTACTCGGAGAAAACCTGCCCCAGCGCCACTCTGTCCACCACAAATCCCACTTGACAAGACCCCGGGATGGAACCCGGGCCGCCGCGGTGGGAAGCCAGCGACTAACCGCATGAGGTACGACGCAGCCATAAAAGTGTAACGGATGAATCAGGTGAAGTAGCTGCCCACAGACCGGGGATCAGTACCCGAAGCAAAGAGCGCGACAACGGTAGTCGCGTCCGTTTCTGCCCGCAGGGAATACATCAGCAGCGGCACAATGTACCATTTTCTGAAACTGTTTCGTCTGCCGATGACGCATTGTTCACGAATTCCGGGCAGGTCTACATTCGAAACATGCATTACTGGGCACCTGAGAACCGTAACTGGTTCAGACAAGCTGGCCATAATCGTCATCGGACTCGCTGTGTGTGGAATAAGCAGTAACTGCATCACTGGCCTTTTCTTCAATGAAGGCACGCTAAATTGGGAAAAGAACGTTCATATACATTTCTTTTTTGCCAAATACCATGCCCACACGAGGCATGCGGTAGCGTAGTTGGTTGAGGCACTATGCTACAAGCCGGAAGGTCGCGGGATCGAATCCTGATGAGGTGGATTTTTTCTGTTTACCTAATCCTTCAGTCGCACTATGGCCCTGGGGTCGACTCAGCCTCTAACAGAAATGAGTACCAGGAATATTCTTTTGGGTATAGGGTGACCGGTGCGTAATGCTGACAACCTTACCGCCATCTATGAGCAGATTGTCTATACAATGTGGGAATCTGAGCATCTCAGAACCTTATGGGCCACCACGGCCCGTTACAGGGATACCTTTAATTTACTTTACTTTTTACCATGCCCACACTTCTAAAATTTACTACACTGAAGAAAGACATATCAGTGACATTTCATCACGATGGCAACCCTGCAGGGCACTGTGTGGCTGCAGGATATGATATGAAGCGACAGCAACACCGTCGGCACGCTCTCCTGACATGACCACCCCTCTGCTTCTTTCTGTGGGGGTAAACTACAAGAATACGCGCACACAGAAATGCCAACAACGCAACAAAGCATGAGACAACGTATCTACCTTCGCTTGCAAGCTCTGATCTGTGTTCACTTCTGTCGCAAGCAGGTGGGCAGCAGACGGAGCGGTTTGTGCTTCGAGTCGCGATATATTAACGCTGCTCAGGTCGTGGTCGTTTGATTCGTATTGATCTGCTCCACAGCTTCTGTAGAGCTGGAAATATCAGGTTTCATTTAAAAAAAAAAAAGTAAAGTTACCCTTGATATCTCGTGATATCGGAAGATAATGTCTTACGCATATGTCCGTCCTCCTTGAAACCATGCATTTTTTTTCTTAACATTCTCTGATGCGATGTACAACAAAGGAGAGTTATTCCACATGATACTGCTAAGTGGTTCAGCCTGTACACGACGGTCACCCTATCCCCGGGTTAGAAAACTCTATTTTCTTTTTGTTCCTTGGGATAGGCCACTATTTGGCCCATTCTACCACTTCCGGATGATGATGATGATGATGATGACTGTGGAGCAGTCGGTGGAATGAGAACTGACAGGGGAAATAGAAATATTCGGAGATAAACCTGCCCCAGTGCCGCTTTGTCCAACATAAATCCCACATGACCTGACCTGGGCTCGAACCTGTGCCGCTGCGGTGGAAAGCCGATGATTAACCGCCTGAGCTATGGCACGGCCTTAGAACAAAAAGATAAAGGTAAAGCTATCCCTGTAACAGGCCGCTGAGGTCCATAGGGTTGCGAGACGTCGAGGTTCCCACATTTTCTAGACAATCGGCTCACAGGTGGCGGTGAGGTTGTCAGCCTTATGCGCCGGCCGCCCTCTACCCCCAGGAAAATTCCTGGTACTCATTTCTGTCAGACGCTGAGTCGACCCCAGGGCCATAATGCGGCTGGTAGAATTAGGTCAATTGAAAAATCTAGTGACCTCAACGGGAATCGAACCTGCGATCTTCCGGCTTGCAGTATGGTACCTCAACCAACTACGCTACCGCGTGCACCAGGGCCTCAGAATAGATTATAGAAAGCATCGTCACACAAATGCCTTGGTTTGCCTGGCAGATGGCACTGAACCACATAACAGTTATTACAGCCCTTGCACAGAAAAAGCGTGATATGAGGCATATCCTAGTACACGTGCACGCAAGGGGGCAATAAAATGTACCTGCTACAAACACCATCGGGTCTCTGCCTCAATACAGTGGCACTAGCACCCTGGTCTCGCAGTCTCGTCTTACTGTCAGCATACACTCACAAATCCGTCCGCTATTTCGCAGATACGGCTGCTTCGTGAGTTCACTTCCATTTGACGCCTACTGTACCTGCCCCTGATGACAGATGAGTAGGGAATTAGAGCTGGCATGGGAAAACCTAAAACCCATTACAGTGATGCTTTGTTAATTATGAATCCCATACTGCAACCTGAAAATTGAACCTGGGCCTCCAAGATTGGAAGCTGGCGACTAGGAGCCTAAAGCCGTGTCACGCCCTTATTTTGGAAGTAGGCCTATGTTATTATCTTCGACAAAACGAAATACCCCTTTAAAAACTCATCGTGGGAAATCACAAAAAGCATGCACACACAGTCACATCAGCATGCATGAGCACAGCAACGCGGACACTTCCATTCCGTCCCAGCGGAGTTCACTCTTGGTGAAACTAGTGGCACTGGGCAGGCTTCTCTCCCAGCATGTCGGTTTTCCCCCTGCCAATTATCATTCCATTAATTCTCCGTCCTTGTTCATCAACAGGGGCTGATACGTGTGACCCATCCGAGGCTGCAACATCATGGGACTCGGTCAGGCCGTGACATGGCTCAGTCGGTTAGTCGCCGGCTTCCCACCGCGGCGGCCAGGGTTCGAGCCCAGGTCAGGTAATGTGGGATTTGTGGTGGACAAAGTGGCATTGGGGCAGGTTTTCTCCGAGTATTTCGGTTTCCCTTACCAATTCTCATTCCATCAAGTGCTCCACACTCTTCATCTCTCATCCGGAGCTGGTACAATAGGCCAGTTAGTGGCCGACGTATCAAGTGGACTCAGTCTCACACCACCACAAAAAAAAAACTAAAAGGGACTCACTCTCACCCCGCTGCTACAAGGAAAAGTCACACCACTGCGCTTATACACCACACACACTGATACGCCATTCTGCAGTCGTTCTGACAACATTCTTAACTAGGATCCAAATAAATTCTACTTCCCAAACTTCGACATCCTATTAAATTCAATGTCAGTATATTACATCTCTTACGGTAGACTTATTTCATTACATTTACGTGTAAAGCGCTTACGAACGGACTATAGGTAATGTGACAGCACCTGAGTTGCAATAGCTATTTCAGTACTGGAGTTTAATCACAGTTGCTTATCAAGAATCTGGGATCCACGGTTTGTGAAATTTCCTAACCATACCCCGACAGAAAAGGACGATCAATTATTAACAATTACGGTCCACTGGTATACCCTTACTATTTACGATTTAACTGCCTGTTTTAAAAGTTATCTGACAAGACACGAACGATGCCGCTAGTAATAACTTTCCCGGCCACGCTTGTGTGTAAACAATGCACAACAGTACAACACAAACGAAAGTATTCGCCGTTTACAGTATAACAGTATTCAGTTATGACGTGACGTTTCCTGCTTTCCCGGTATCTCTTCTGATACCTAACATACTATATTAGTAAGCTGTCCATCAGCTGAATATGTATTCAGTCAGAAGACAGTCTGAAATAAACTACAGTATAACCCAAAAGTTTCGTCACGTGAAAGTGACAGAACACATATTCGAAGTAATAATTCTCACCAAACGCATAACTCTGCCCAAAACCTATCCAGGATTCTATTTTGTTAGACACTTCTTGGTACCTTTAAGTCACACATTGAATGACTGACATTTTCTTAAAATCTTTTAAGAACGGATATTTGCGGGAATTTGAAGTTTCGAATCGTAACTTACCATATGAAGTCTTTGCAGTGGCTGCAGAATGTAGGCTGCTTGAAGAAACGTGGGATGAATTTATGGTCCTTCACGTTGTACACATTTTTCTTTTTCAGGGCTCCCTTTCTGCCTCGAAGTCTCAGACCGAAGACGGTATTCAAATCTCCCGAGCCATCGTCGTTCACATTCGACTCTTCGTCCGCCATGACTGCTAATAACCCACACCACTGCAATAGCAGACTGCTTACAGCAGGACAGCGTTCACCCGATTATCGATGAGTTTCCAGGATGATCAAGTGTAACACCAAATCTACTCTTGAGGGAAGTTCATGTAAAATCAGGATGAAAGGGGGTTACATTTTATTAAATTTACAATAACTAAAGGTATAACATAATTCAATTTTGGTCAATGTAACATTCAATCTGTTTTCAGTTGTACATTGCAACCAACTGTAACCAGGTGGAACCAATAACGCCAGTAACCATGCTGGAACTTCGTGAACGTGTAATAACAATTGAGACTGAATTGCGTGTCGCAAGTTGGACAATATCACGGACTAAAATATATTGCGAATTTCCCATTTCGTGAAAATGAGAATTAGCATGTAGTATTTAGTTGGATGGATAATGGAACGTGACTGAAGCAGATAATCATCACATAAGTGTCATAGACAAATTATTTCTTTAGAATCGAAGAATGGAACTCCAAGACATATATTACAATAAGGCAGAATACGTTGAGACGGTAAAGTTTCGAAGTTGAGACTCGTATAGAACTTGTAAAATTTGTGGTTTTCGCACTGGTGGTCATGGTACTGTTTTCTGAGTAATTAAGCCAAGTAGTCCGTTGGAAGTCAGCCGACGTTTCGGTGGAGTATATAGCTTCCATCTTCAGGGTCGAATAAGCCGAGGAAGATACCAGCGTGAGAGCAGGTGACAAGCAGAGCCGAAACGTCGGTTGACTTTTAACAGGCTACACAACGTTATTGCCAGAAGATAGTACCTTTTATAATTAACATTATGTACTATCGTCATGTTTTCTTGTTGTGTATGTGGGTGTAAAGTTTGCAGGTATTTAAGTCATAATGTATCACTATATATATATATATTGCAGTTTTAAAGCTCATTGTAATCTTACCGACAGTTTAACATAAAGATAACCTTACTCACCATTGCATCAACTTATGAATTACAGGCATCGGGCAACAAGGTGAGCCGCCAGACAGTTCTGTGTGGATCACAGAATATAGTCTTGAGTGGCAAAGTAATAGTGCAATCAGATGCTATTATACGTGGAGATCTTGCCAACGTACGTGCTGGCCGTTATTGCATCATCAGCAAGCATGCAGTTATTCGACCACCATTCAAAAAATTCAGCAAAGGGTAATATTTTTGTGTGAAATACATGTGGTAGCTTGAAACTTGTTTTCCCGGGACCACCAACGCAACTGTAAAGCCACTATGAGCATGGTTTTTAGTATACCAGTCAAGACATACATTTAAAAAACTTGGTTCCTAATGTGCAGTTTGATGTATGGTGGGTTGTGATTCAGTATTTGGACTCATATTACATACATGGAAGGTGGGATTGACATTACCACCATTTAATGTAAGACTAAGAAATGTTGTAGCTTCAAAAGGTAAGCAACTTATATTCATTTTCATAGAATGTGAAGTAAGATGACTACAGACAGCTTGCATTTATCTTTCCAGAATAGAGAAATAACTGATGAATTGTGTGCAGAACTGCAACATTAATCCAGACATATGCAGTGTTCAATTTGACTTAGATTCTGATGAATATTTCTGTTGTCCCTAATATAGTGCTGTGTAGTCTTAAGGAAGTAAATGCTTTTTTTGTAGGAACATATTGATTGCATCTGCATGCTTTATGCCAGTTTCTTGCTTCACTAACTTTTGTAGTAGAGGCGATATATTCCTCTGAAGTATTCATTTACTTTCAGCAGACTGCACTGCATATCCAGAAAGAGTTTTGTCTTCTTTTAATGGCCACCACTGTGGGAACCTTAAATCCAACTTGGATTCTGATGATGACATTGATAACAGCAATAAATAAATAAATATGTACAGTTGAAAGTTGTGGTAATATTTTGACTTGACTATGGTTCAGTCTGATGACCATTTGTGCACAAGTCCAGCATCCTAATCCAGAAGCTAAACTGCAGGTTATTCTGGGTTATACATTTACAGTATATAAATATAACATTAAGAGTGCAAAATTGAGTAAAATTGGAAATCTGTGCAAAGGAAAGCAGACTTATGAATTTGATACCGAATCTCATGAATATATATTACTGTCATGGACCTCAACCCTCCTTGAGAAGCCACTACTTGTGTGTGTACTCAAGAACTTCCCAGCATTTTATGGAACTTGCCTTCCACTGGTCCCTATCCTGAGCCAGATCAATCCAAAATACTCTAAATATGAAAGTTTTGTTAATATCAATTCCTCCCGAACAGAGTATATGTATGTGGATGTTGGAAAGAAAATGGATGCCTTCCGATTGTGGAATGTGACTAAAATGGTGTCCTCATTTTTATTAGATCTATTTTTGACAAAACATTTTTCTTGGAACTGTAATGTTCTTTGCTTTGAAAACTCAATACTGCAGTCTCGTTACACCATGGAGATAATACAAGTGTTTGTTACTTTTCAGTGTGGCATTCTTTCCCCTTCACATGGGTGATCATGTTTTTGTTGGTGAACGATCTGTAGTAAATGCTGCTGTTATTGGTTCATATGTCTACATTGGCAAAAACTGTGTGATTGTAAGTATGGAAGTACAGTTTCTTTACAAAACTCAATGGGAAATCTCTTCACTTATATAAATTTATGTCTAATAACTATGAAACTCCATCATCTGGTCATGGCATTTTTAGGCATGCCCAGATTTAACACATGAGGAAGAATAATTCCTTTTATACCTTCTTCCCTCACCCTCTTTCTTGCTTTCTTTCATACTTAGTTCTTTAACTACTTTTAATTATTCTTGATAAATTCACAAATTTGTGAATCCTTTGTCTATAATTAAACTTTTATGTGTTTATTGAGGATTGCTTACCAACTTTTAGTTGTACCGAGTATGGCAACATTTGACAAATGCTTACCCATTCTATTACCAACAGTATTCAGCTAATTATTCACTGATTATAAGTTGGTCATTAATGTTACACATTTGTATTGTTTATCTTTAGTTGTCTATAAAAGATTTTGAATTGATGATTAATTCCACATTTATTTTAAGAGGTATGACTTATTCTGTATCCAATAGGCTTTCCTTCTATGGAATTTTAGAATGTAAAAAAAAAATATATATTGGAAAAATTGGAATTTATCCATTTCATATCTTTAACTCTGTTAACTGTTTTCTCCCATACTGCTTTCCCTTCCCTTTAATTTGTCCATGCTGTCATCATTTCATCATTTTCTGAGGTCCATATCTCCTGTGAGTTCAGCCAAACATACCTGAATGGTTTCCACAGACAGCTACAAACCAGCCTTTATTACACTCCTAGTCTAAATTTAACATAATATGATTCAGTCCTCAGTGTCACAGTGCGTAATGCTGCAGTTTTGTCCATTTCAGCTATATGTTTACAGTCATTATTATTATTATTATTTTCCTGTTGGTCCCACTCGAAGCAGAGGGCATCCTTGAAACGCTTCGTTTCTCTTCAGTTTCTTAATCTTAAGACAGTCAGTAGACTTCTTGAATGGGGATCAGAACCTATGATCCCAGTTTTCAAGCAGCGAATTTGGACTTATCTGATCAGTCTAGTTCTTTTTTGTTTGAAATTTGTTATTTTTTTGCAAATTTATAAATTAGAAATTTTTTTTTTCATAAGTGGCTCTCATTTTATAGAATCTGTAACATTTCTGTGATACCATACTCATGTGTTTGATCCTGAATGTGTTCTTATATGCTAATTTATAATTCTCATACCCAGATATAACCTTGATCTGCATTATTTTTTTTGTGAAGGGTCGTCGATGTGTTCTCAAGGACTGCTGCGTCATTGAAGATAACACAGTTTTGCCACCAGAGACTATGGTACCCTCTTTTACCCAGTATGGAGGGTCTCCTGGTGTCTGCATTGGGGAACTACCTGAATGTATGCAGGAACTAATGCTGGACTACACACGCAACTATTATCAGCATTTCCTGCCAGCAAAATGAACTAACAGTTTTCATACATACTTTCATTTCCATACAGTCAGCTGACAGACATAATACAGCGGCTTAATTCAGTGCTTTCATCCCACATATTGGAAGCACTGGCATACCCTCCACGCCAGATTTTTGTTTTGTAAATATTAAAATATGTATTTCAAGCTTTTGCTGTTGTGCTCTCAATTCTTTAGTAGCCCTTCAACTCACATTCTTTGAAGGGGCATGAAAATTCAGACACTCCGAGAAGACATGAATGTATTCAGCGTTAGCTGTGCAGTTGTTCTAAATAAGTATATTCTTATGGTGTGTTATCTCTATGAGAAGGCTCACAGGAGACTGTAATGTCAATCCTGTCCTTCACAAAACTTTTTGTATGTTGAGCCATTTTTGAGGAACTTAGTGAAGCTCAGATTTGTTCCATGTAAATCAGCAATTATAACAGAACAGTAAATACCAAAATTAAATTATGTCAGTGACTTTCATTGTGATCCCACCCCAGTCCTGATAAACTTAAATGAAAAGCCTCATGTAGCTGTGGAGCTGAAATGAATGGGCAGCCTGACATGAGCTCCCCTCTGTGCCCAGTCCTTGAAACCCACTATGGTTTGGAATCTAGCTCATTTCTGTCATAAGGTGAATAAGAACATGCCCATTCAGCTCACAGTTTGACAGGAGCTCTGCTTACACATCCAGGAATTATAAGAAATTTCATGATGAATCAAACACCCAGTACCAGAACTGTTGACAATATACTTTTAAGATTTGAGGTTTTCACAGTGGTGACTATGAAGAAAGCCGTCTTGTGGGATGTGGCACCGTGTAGAGATTGTGTTAACTGACGATTCAGAGGAATGTATCGCCTCCATCTTCAGGGTAGAAGACAAGAAGAAATCCGCAAGCAAACCAGCTCTACCTCTACCTTAACACTGTGTCCCACCACCACCCTTCCAACAAGCAAGCTGCACTTTCCACATTGGTGCACAGGGCAGAGCTCTATGTGATCAAGACAACCTACATGTGGAGTTGGTGCTCCTAGGCTATGTTTTCAGGCAGAATGGATACAACTGGCAGATCCACAGAGTTCTCAACCGTTGGCCGAAGATAAACTGGACTCAGTCGCCTTCCTGCCCTATGTCGGGAGTATATTCAACCGTATTAGCAGAGTGCTGTCCCGGCACAACATCAAAGCAGTGGGCCTGCCTGCAAAGAAATTATCTAGTTTTCTCCAGCCAGTCAAAGATAGCCTGGGACTAAGGACACCGGGTGTATACAGTATCCCATGCAAGTGCAGCAAGGTCTATATTGGGCAGACAGACCGTTCTGTGGACACGAGGTTGATGGAGCATCAGCGGCACATCCATCTCAAACATCCAGACAAGTCAGCTGTGGCTGAATACAGCATTGATTTGGGACACCACATTCAGCTTCAGAATACCTCCATCCTCACTACCAAGACCCGTTATATGGATTGCATCATTAGGGAGCCCACTGAGATTGAATTCCATTCCGACAATATGAACAGAGAGGTGGGGTTTTGTCTCGGCAAGTCATGGAAGCCTCCCATCTGTTCCCTCAAGAAACCTCTGATATACGGCAGACCCTATAGGCCACTCAGGTCCATCGCAGCCACCAAGCTACAGGGTTAATGCCCTCCAATTAACCTTCCCTTCTCTCCCCCTAACACATACTCTATACCAGCTTTGGCCTACTACCTCCTGGCCATTCCACCAGACCCTTCCCCCCTCCCCCCCTCTACTATTCCCTATGTAGCCACACTCACTTCCCTCCTCCTCTTATACAGCTGTGTTTACTCAACTCGACTCACTCTGTTGCACCTGCTCTAGCTGGTTCGCTGGAGGCGATACATTCCTCCAAAACATCGGTTAACACAATTTTTACATGGCGCCACATTCCAGAAGACAGTTTTCTTTAATATACTTTTAGGTTTCCCCTCCAGAATTTCTTTTGCCCGACCACATACAATCCTGCATATTTCAGCTGTAAAGGTGGGAGAACAATCTGCTCATCTGTAACTGGACTGCTGAAAGCCAGTTTCATGTGATAGGGTTTGAGAATGATAACAGCTTTCCAAGCATGAACAATAACAGGTAAGAAGAGAAAAGCCACAAAAATGTTCAGCTAGGACAGCTGGTATCAAGCCTGAATTTAACTTACGATCTCTCACAAATAACTCTTTGTGGTGTTGTTTCATGTTCCAGAGACCATTTATGTCGCCATCATCTGCCAACACTGACTTCTGTGGTTGGTATAGTTGTATATGCAGCATGTATGCATTGCACCTCATCCTAATAGGACATCCAATCTGTCCAACATACATCTTGCCACATTCATAAGGGATATAGTATATGCTTCAGACCCAAAGGACAAGGCCATCTGTCATTGGTCTCAGCTGAGCATCCCTTCTGAGACCAGTCCCACAGAACTCTAACTCAGACCCCTGATGATGGAGATGGGAGAGCCTCTGAAACACTGAATGCCAGTTCCACACTGACGTGGCTGATCACCAGAGAAGACTTCACTGTTGACCATTATTGCCTGTTCATATTGAAATCTTATGTGCAGTCTAGTAGGTGGGTTCAGTGTGACAACCTTGATGAGCCTAACAGCCATGAAGTCCTCAGATCTTATGATACTGGGTATTCGCTTAACCAGACACTCAATTAGAAACTGTGAGACTGATATGCTGTTGTACTATTTCTGAAGCCTCCAGATGGTTGGAAGTTGTTCTAGAGATGGTGGTTTTGTAAAAACAGCATCATTTGGTGGTGATTCTTTCCAAGGTCTTGTACTGATGCATGCATCTTCGCCTGAAAAACATATAATAAGTGTTTACTATGAGAGAAATATTTTGTCAGTAGTTTATTGCAAACAGAGCTTAAGGCCATGACAGCATATAATACATCTAAATTCATTGTAGTCTTCTCCTCTGAATATTAATTTCATCGAATAATACAAATTACTGATGGTTTCAAGCATCTTTCTGTATAGGTTAAAGTAGTGGAACATCATGTCAGAGGATCTTTATAAGAATACAGCAGCCTGTAAAAGATTTTGACTGGTAGAGAATATGAAACAGTCATGATATGTGATTGATCAGAATGGTGTAAACATAGGATGGCATGTGATGATCCACAATTCTCTACCAGTCAGACTATAATCAGTGCTGCGTAAAGTGAATGTGACATACCGAACCATCTTGCTGCACGGACACGACTCTGGTGGGACATAGATGAATTGCCGACAGATCTATGTTCAGTTCTCGCATGGAATTTATGAGCCATCTTATTGCAAGGTCACATCTCTGGTGGGACACAACCTATGAACAGTTCTCATGTGGAACTTACCGAGCCATCTTGTTGCTAAGACACGTCTCTGGTGGGTTGCTGATGAATTGCCGGCAGCCCCATGTACAGTTCTCATGTGGAACACAACACAATCTCCTGGCTGAAAATTCAGAATAAATTTTATGTATTCAGGTTTCCAGAGCACTGAAGCTCATACAAGTATTGTGGTCTTCTGGGATGTGACACCTTGTAGTCTTAATGAGCAAATAACAATGTTTCAGATGATCCTCTTATCTTCTTCTTCATGGTCAACACTAAAACTGGAGGCAACGTGTTCCTCCAAAATGTTACCATCCACCTATACCACTACATGTTTTCATAATCCAAGAGACCCTACTCTGAATATTCAATGTTCATGTTATCTCTTGTTACCTCAGTTATGTTCACAGCTTCATGCAGATGTCTTCACTTCTAAATTTATCCCACATCCCTCAGATGTTTCCTACCTTTGGATCCTAATATCCATATCTCACCTCTGTATTTCAGGATTGGTTTATATACTGTATTATATAGTCTTTGTTATATTTCCTCATATTTTTGGTGAAACCTATAACATACCACTTTAATTTACTGCACTTCTGTGTGAGATTTGAATTTCTCACAGAGGTGATATGCAGAGTATTGTCATCTGGGATGTGAGGCCGTGTAATATGGTTAAAGTTTACCACACTACAAGTATATGGCATCACATCTCACCAGAATATGGCACTACAGGGTACTTCTGTGTGCTTTCCTCTACATCTTCATTCATTCCATATAAGGTCAGCAATGCTTCTCATTTGAATCTCAGGCAGAACACTGCTCATTTTTAGTTATTTTGTTGTTTTCCTAAATCTCTCCAGGCAAATGCCAGGAAAGTACCTGCATTGGGCCATGACCATTTCTTTCCAAATACTTACCAATTCATAAATCATCAGTAATCCCACAGTCATATGCTCTATAGCCCAGCTTCTTCCTAAAGTAGCAGTTTCAGTATGGTACATTTAAAGAGAGGCCTCAGCTCTTTCAGTAGCATTAAATAGTAATACTTATGATGTAAACAGAAAAATCATTTTCTTGCAGATGTTTTGATGAAATTCAGATAATTTTAATTTATATTGTTATAGTGATTAAATCAAGTCAGTTTCTGTAATTACTCAAGAGCATCAGAAAAGTCTGTTCATCAGCCATTGCTCTCTTCATGACATGGGCTCAGGTACTGGTAACATAATCTGGTAAGACCAGACAACGGTATCAAGAGAACTTCCTACCTGCATCGCCCACTGTAGGATGTGATACTTGCCAGACTCAATCTCCTCTACTGGCACACTTTCATATGTGTGACTGAAAACATCTGAAATATAATCACTCTCTGTGGCAAATTTCCTGGGTTTGAACCATCGTCCCCAGCGGTGTGAGCCACACACCAAGCGCAGGGTACTATCCAATGAAACTGGATCTACTGGCATCCATATTGAGCATACCTGAAATAATAACAATGGCATTAGTAGTTGTGGAGGTAGCAGCAGCGGCAAAGAGACACATTATGATATATAAACAGAAGTGCCCGACTTTTGCCCAGGATGCAGTTGCGTTCCTTGTCAATACCACAATATATAGTAGCTCAAACTCTGGAGACAGAATAACACTGAAATTAAAAAATTAAATTTTACTCAGGTAATTAAAACAAACAAACAAAAAACTGACAAAAAAAACTGTGAATGGGCATTTTAATCACATCCAGAACTCTACCACAGCATTTGTGCATTGCTTAAGCAGGCATGCTACCACACATATTGGCAAAAGTATAGAATAAATTTCATAATATCTTTGGCTGTCCCTGTTAGGTCCACAAAAGGAAAGAGGAAACACAAGTCACATTTTCATATGTATCAGATTAGAAGCTTAAAGGCAAAGTTACCCCAGTTCATAAAAACATCATGCCATGAAGACATGTGGGTACACCTCAATCTGAGCTATAAGACACAGATGAATGGTCAACGCTCACTCCACTTTACCCCTCAGTATTCATTCAACAGGCCTCAGAGTAAAGAAAGATCCTGACCCTGCAGGGGTTTGAATTCTTGCTTTGTCCACTTCCCATTTAAAATAAAACTCATTTCAATAAACCTTTCATATTTTTGTGTATATATTATTTTACAAATTTCCATGATACTGTACTGAATGTTATTAGTGTGCAGCAGATGCAGAGTGTAATATGGAAGATTTCAGGAACCAACATGTCCTTCCTACCAAAATTCCTAACAGTCAGAAATGGTTCACTGAATTGTATAATCATCATATTATAAATGAGAATTGAGTCTGTCATGATACTGACAATTAAGGTTCTGGGTTTTGATGCTATGCAGTTTGGTAGATAGGTACTGATGTTTCAGAGGAACCAGTTGTCTCCATCTTCAGATAGAAAATCTTTGGGGACAATTATTTAACAATGCTATCGGGAGCTAGACTATACAGCGTAAACTAGTAAGAATATAGAAGAGTGACAGATTGGAAAGGACTGCAGAAGAAAACAGTTATGGCCTAATCAAGGTAATATGGAAGCATTTGCATTTGCCTGGAGACTGAAGAAGTCCATGAAAACTTCAGTCTGAATATATAGTACCCCAGCTGAAATTAGAACCATGCAGCTCATGAATACAAGCCTATAGCATTACTGCTATCCCAACCCACTCGATGGTTAGATGAAGATGAGACACATGAAGGGAGTATATTCCTCCAAGTACGCAGGTTCAAACCCGGCGGAGGTCGTGGAAATTTTAAGGGTGGAAAAATTCAGGGAACAAGTCCTCCGGGAGGGACTTTAAGCCATGGGTCCCGTTTCGTAGATTTACGGCACGTAAAAGAACCTCATGTCTCTAGGAGACCTCTGAGCTAAATTTGGCAAAAAGTTTCCCACCCAAAGTAGTTTCCAATGCCTCCGGTAGATGGGGAAGTATTAGGTACCACTGCCAGAGGAGGGGGGACATCTCTGACAGAAAGGGACTAACTATTAGACACCACTGCCAGTAGAAGGTTGGAACCTCACTGGCAGAAAGGGGCTAATAGCGAGCACCAGTACCGGTAGGGTATGGAGACAGTAGAAATTAAAAGGGGGACGCACAATGGACCAATAACTGGTCTAAGTGCATGGGGAAACCCACGCCCTCTATACTCAATACTCAATATTCCTCCAAAACATTGGTACCTACTGCTAGATTACATGGTTTCACATTCTAGAAGACTATAATCTTAAAATGAGTTATGGCATAATTTACCTTGTCACCATTGATGGGATAATATGACTGATCGTGGTGCCATGGTGTAGCTTTCTCAGCTCCTGGTTCTTTATTCAGCACATGCTCATGGTAAAATTTGACCCACTGAAACATCCACAGGTCTGATGATAAAACTGAACTATATTCTTTATTTCATGAACTGAAATCACAATATTAAAGTAAGCTGTCAAATTTGTTTCAATAAAGCCATAGCTCGCACAACAAGCTTTGCCCTCAGGGTGAAACTGACTGGTCAACTTAATTTCTTTATAAAGAATAAAAAAATTAACATACAGTGAAATGTTCATATAACCTGCTGACTGTCAATCCTTTAACAGAGCTGCCTGCTGTAAATGTCAAGGATGCTCATGGGTAAATGCAGTTGCTCAGAAAAATGAACAATAGTTCCTCACACTGCTTCCAAAAAAAAAAAACCGGGTTAGTTGGCACAGAAGCCTGTTCTTTCCTCTAAATATCAATATATCACTTCATGCTGTCTACTAAAAGAAACTTGTATTAAGCAATTAACAGCAAGACCTTCTTTTTGGCTGTGGAAATTTCACTGTTAAGTACAATGACCTCATGTAATTGGGCTTGTGGTGTGCAAAGGATTGAGATTCTTCTTGTTACCATAACTGAAGTTATTCCACTAGTTGTAACCAATTTAACACATCCAGAACCTACCACAAATATACTTATGTCCAGTTTGTTGTATTTTTAATCTATATGAATGCTGAATATCCTTGTGTAATTTGGTTTTTAATATTCAAATTTTCACACTTCAAGAAATATTACAGGAAAAGTATAATAGAACTTGAAATAATGACATACACGTAAGATATAATTTTCTTTTTTTGGGGGGGGGGGATGTCAGTAGCTTAAAAATATGAGGCTGAAAGGGCTGAGCTACCAATCCTGCATTTACTTGGAAGGAGTAAGGATAATCAGAGAATTGCTGGTCTTGGGCAGACTCATGATGGGACGCACTATGTTTCACAGCAAACACTCAGGACATAAGAATTTAACAGGGTTACCTCAGAACACATGAGATTCCCTGCCAGTTCTGCTGCTGGAGAATTATAAATATATTCTTGGAATTCTGGAATTTTCTTCCAATTGCAATAATCATTGAAGTACACTCCACCATTATTACTGACCTGAAATTTCATTTAAATTACATGAAAGCAGATTAATTTCAGGTAGACTGCATCAGAAATTAATATTAGAACAATTTACAAAAAAATGATTGAACAAAATAGTACATTTAATTTGTATGTAGAGCATGCTTGTACATGGATGTGGGTGTGTGGATGTGTGCACATGTATGTAGAATATTTCAACTACATACGCCTCACAAGAAAAATCTCATGACTACAAAGTCCTCTGGGATAGGAACCCTAAGTACAACCCAAGGAAAGTTTTAATAGTGAGGGTGCAGCCATAGGTCTCATAGGATGGCCACCCCTGGATGAACCTTGAGCTATTGTGCTTCCTTCTACAGCATAATTCCCTATATTCTCACACAAAACGTCTACAAATTCGGTTCGTATGAATGCTCACAATCATAGACCTTGACAAGCACTCTGGTCTATCTGAAAGAGGACAGAGGGGTTGGCAGAGAATACAAAGGCACACAGAAAGGAGAGATCCTCACGTGCAGTTATTCCTACCATCTATGGGACTCCTTTCAGTGACCTCAACACTGTGATTGGGAATGGAGAAATACTTCTAATATAACAAGGAAGAAAGCTATGTATTCTTCTTGTGGTTTACTTTGCAATATTGTCAGTATCTTGACTATATGGCATTGAATGGCATGATGACATGAATGATGAATTTCTAAGGTTTTGGAAGAAAGTGATCATAACCTAACGGATGCACTATCCCAGCATGCCTGGAGGGAGTGCAGGAAACCACAGAAACCTTAGTCAAGATAGCCAGTGTCACAACAGAAATTTCAACAGACCACCTTTCAAATACAAATCTAGCGTGCTACTACTATGCCAGCTCACTTGGTTGGGACAAGTTTTAAGCTTTCTGAAGAGAAGTACACCAAAAACTGGAGTCAAAACAAGGAGTTTATTCTTATTCATTTCAGTTTCTCCATAACTTTGACAACAAATTTAGTTCTTAATTTGGGCAATGTGACTGATCCACCAGTAACATTTCATTCCTCTTTGCACGCATTTGCATATGCATGTGCCTGTGTGTGTGTACACATACATTGTGTGGCTTCTTTTGCTGTGATGTCAGTATCAAGTCTACATAGCATCGAATGTAGGATGATTGGTAAATGACAAATTAGAGAGGATTTGGAACAAAGTAAGAATGTCATAATTGAGATACTATCTGATATTTGCTGGAATGACTGAAGACACCTACAAGAAAACCTCAGCCAGGACAGGAAGTGTCCTGACTGAGATGTGAACAAGCACCTCCTAAAAACAATATAATGCACTGCTGCTAAATCAACATGCTTAGTTTCTTCTTATATAATTTCAGAATCTATCGTGTATAATTAGATGCAATGAAGGAGTCAGAGAAAGTGCATAAATACAGCCTGTGTCATTACATACAAAGACACATGAACAAAGCGATTAAGTTTACTGTTAATTTTATGTAGGGTAGAATCTACTCACTTTAAGCCACTCTGCATACATGCTTGGCTCCTGGAGATTGTGCTGGATCCCTCGCTGCACTAACTGCACCCAGTGGGCAGAAAAAACACCCCTCAAAACCACAGCACCATCTTCATTAAAACGTTTTACTAATTCTGGTGTTATAACTGATCTGCTACCACTCATATTTGTATGGAACTGTTATAAAACTCAACTATTGTTTGTAACTGTAATTACAATAAGTTAAAATTAATTAGAACAGCAGGTCACACTACTTTGGATTACAAAAGGATGTCAGGCATAATGAAGGAATTAAACATACAATTTTATTTCAGGGAATGTCAAACCAATTCTGTTATTCCAACATGAGAAAATGTGTTATATAAACATGCTATATTCGATGTTCTCACAGCAGTGACTACAAAGAGTACAGTCTTCCGGGTTGTAACACTGTGCTGTTTGGTAGTTCACCAACGTTCCAGAGGAATATAACACGTTCATCTTCAGGGTCAAACAGTAAGCCAAGCAAGAAGCCAGCAAGAACAGGCAGGAAGCAAAGCTTTTCAATATACATAAACAAGGGTGTTTGGTAAATGTAATTCAATTATTCATTTTACAGTAGGGAAAGACTTTTTCTGAAAAGGTCTGTAAGCAACGGGGGCTATAGTTACCAATAACCTGTAAGAAACTCTGTGGCTTTAGTCCACAAGCGAACTATACTGACTGAGCGACCACTGCTTGTCAGCGAAGTTAGTGCCAACTTTAGCAGATAGAGGGTGTCACATGGTCAGCACAACGAATCCCAACAGCCGTTAATTTCGGTTTTCTAGACTGGCAATAACCTGTAAGGTTCCATATAAACATGACCTTAAACAAGAGAGTGGGAGAGAATATCAATGAACAAATTCAAAGATACTACAACTCATCAGACTTGATTTTTCACCCATCACAGATGAATGCACAAATGAGGCTGTTAACCAGTGATGACATTAAAATGGAGTATTGTGGAATAATGATTGGAAGGGAAAAGTTAAAGTATTCAGAGAATACCTGCCACTATCCACAACAAATTCCATGCAAAATTCCCTAGTACTGAACTGAGGACTCTGTGGGGAGATTCCTGCAACTAACCACCTAAGCTATGGCATAGACTTTACCTTGAGCAACAGATACTCATCTGAATGCATGTCTGTTGTTATGAAATGTGAATCTCTGTTTTCATTATTACACAGTCCACCAATCCTGTCTTCAGCTAGCTCAATCCAGTTTAGGTTTTCAGTACAGTAACTATTTACCAAACACCATGCTCAAGTGGGTAGCACTCTTGCTTTGTGTCTGCAAGTCATAAGCTCAAGTCTTGAATTAAAGGTCAGTTATCCTGACAGGTTTCTCATGGTTTTTCTCAGTCCTTTGAGGCAAACACTGGGACTGTATCCTGATTAGGCCATATTCATTTCTTTCTGCACACTTTCCAACTTATTCTTCACTGATCATGCAATCATTCAACATTATATAATCTGAGCATGTGACAGCATTGTTAAATATATCATAAATACAAGTAGTAGCTCTCTCACAAAGAATACTTATGTCTCAGATGTGGTGCCATCTAATTCAGCCTTAGTTTCTTGGGTCATCCACTCTGAAGATGGAAGCAGTATATTACTCTGAAGTGTTGGTAAACTTCTACCGGACGCAACAGCGTTGCATCCCAGAAGACAGTGTTCATCATAATCACTGCCATGAGAACTTCAGATCTAACATATTTCACTTTTATGGTAAGCCTAAAAACACAGTGTTCCCTTCCTTTCCAGTACCAATTCATAGTGAGCACATACCTGTTCATATAAATGTAAATAAATGAAAACAATGTCACTGATCACTATGCCTTGTGTATCTTCATATGAGACCTCCCAAAGACTGAGCAGTCATTCTAGTTCCTTACCAAGCATGCAGAGAAACACATGAACAGATGATAACCTCTTGACCTTTATGGAGAGTGCCCACATTATCTGCACATGCAAGAGAGTAATCCATGGGTCAGCAAACTCAAGTGGACAGCTGTACTCCAATGGAGTGCACATTTTCCAAATGCTTCTGCATTCTTCACTTACACTGATATTAATGTACTGATGATAAAAGTTAAGAGTGCAAAAAGTGTAACACACACTGCAGAGAGCATATTTTCCATTAATACTGACATCTGAATGAAGCACAGACCTTGAGACGTCAATAGTCTCTCAGAATGTCAAGAAAGAACCCCTGTTCCAGGCAATCCAAAAATTCATCACCATATACTCATACAGCTCCTTCACTGGTCACCATTATTAAGTCAGATGAATCCAGTCCACACCCTCCCATTATATTTATTTGAGATTCCATGTAACTCTAAATCTCCCAAGTGGTCTTCTGCCTTCAGATTTTCCTACCAGAGCTCTGTATGTATTTCTTCTTGCTGTCATACATGCTACATGTCCCACTCATCCCATTCTGTTTGACTTGAACATCCTAATAGTGCCTGTTGGAGCAAAAATTATGAAGCTCCTCATTATGCCATTTTCTCCAGTTTCCTTCACTTTCCACCTCTTAGGCAAAATATTCTAATTAGCATTCCAATCTATATTTGAATATCAAACAATGTTTCAAATAAATTTTCATGAGATCTACATTTCACATCATGTATTAAGTTTCTAATATGGTCAACTGTTTTTTATAAAATCTGTAAGTGTTCATATTGGTTATTTTATATATCTGTCAATACAACAATCAAATAACTCTCTTCCACATTTGTGTCAACCGAGTTTATTTAACTTGTGGTACAGCTTTCAGCTCTCATGGGGCCATCACCAGGTGCTATAATATATGTTATATTTTAGCGTCCTGTTGCACTGATTCACGTTCATGATGTGTATTTGTACCAACCGTCTTACAGTGCACACAATTTCACTTTTGTCTTCACTACATGTTTTGGCACTAATGTGCCATCATCAGGTGTGGTTTTATTTACGTCAAATCATTGCACTGTATGCCATCATGTCTCCTTTATAAAATGATTAAAATGTATATATGTCATGTATAATAATAAAGTTTATATATTAAAACTTTTCAAGATTTATCATCTATACGTCACACTTCACATTTTAATCATTTTATAAAGGAGACATGATGGCATACAGTGCAATGATTTGACGTAAATAAAACCACACCTGATGATGGCACATTAGTGCCGAAACATGCAGTGAAGAGAAAAGTGAAATTGTGTGCACTGTAAGATGGTTGGTACAAATACACATCATGAGCTATAATATATAGTCTTAAAATAATTAATTGTAACTGTTATGGATCCACATTACAAATATCATGTATATTATAAAATTATTTGCAGAATAATTTGTGCCGTTTTATGCACAGACTAATTCTGCTCCTATATTGTATAGTTTATGTTAAAACAACTTATATTGGAGTCATCCTACAATTGGTATATACAATTATGTTAGATTAAGTTCTTGATGTGTGTGTAAATATCGGTTTAATTGTTGAAAGAGTGTGTTACTGTGTTGTATTAATGTTACACATCATGTGTAGAACCACTCTTAGGCTTGCTTTGTCACAGGGCATCTTCTTAGCCAAAGAGTCATGGAAAATGTCCTTCGGTAACTTATTCGCGCAATGTAAACTTTTGTAGCTGATGTATTTTACAATGCTAGCTCACCTGCAACATATTTGAAGTCCTTGGTGCTGTTCCCGATTAAGAAGTGTAAATTTGATGACGTCTTCACATTCTTTCCTTTCGTTTATGACCTTCTGTGCAAGAATGCTGTCTGCAGTCGGTATTACCCCCGTGAGTGATGCTGAACTCACGTTCACAAAGTATACAATGAGCTCTCTAAAGCTTTAAAGGCTCTAAAGGTTGGGGGGCACGAACTTTAACCATGAATATTGTTCTTCCTATTTTCTCAAGTAAACATACAAGTATTTAGTTTTCTTCTTAGGTGGAGTTTTTGCACTTCTGCTTTCCCTTTTACTGCCACTACGGTCACTCCTCATTATGAAAATGGATTCAATTTGGTAAAAATTTAAAAGCACGAAGATGAACACACCGAAAAGTACAACAAAAAACTTCAAAATCCGTAAACGGATATTACACTATCGATTAGTATATGCTAAACTTTCTATCGATTATAATAGGTCCTCCTTCGGTATCTATTGATGAGTACAATGAGCACAATGAGTACCTATAAGTCTGAACTATCGATAATTATGCAGTTTATATCGGAATGTATTTTGCGGGAATAACATATAATTTAAATCCTGCGATCTTGATTGTTAAGGAAATATAAGGGAGAAATAGAAGGTCAATACGGGAGCCGGAGAATCCAAAAATTACAGAACATATTAGAGGAAAAATTCACTCCATGTCTTATCAGTATGTTTGGGAGTAATAAATGTTCGACTTCTGTAACGGGTAAACCTAAACATTACATAAGGAATGAAGTGGTTGCTTTTGAGGAAGACCAAACTCATGAATTTAAGGGGCATCGAAATATAAGTGTAGCAGATGTGCCTCCGTGGTGTATTAACGCTTCTAACAACACGAGTACACGAAAAGCAATATCGAGGTACTGCTAAACTGAAACTATGTTACTCTGCATCTTAATCCCATTTGGGTGAATAACTAGTATTCCAACAGCAGTGATGATTACAGTATATGTTGACACATAAAATGCTATTTATTCCGGTTCACACTGTATTGGAATCACATGAACTATACATAATGTACTTTTCCGAGTATACCAGTAATTAGTAATTACCAATGATAAGTTTTTTTAATGTCCTAACAATGCAACTAGTCCGGGACTAACGATGAGCATTTTTATTATTACTTAAACTACTACTATTAGAACTAAACTCTGAGATTACACCCACTGGTGTGTCTCAGCATCTGGTGTCTTGAGCACATTGTTGTCACACTCATATTACTATTTACACTAAAGCGCACTTGTGCTACACTAGTTCAAATGGCTTGAGTCTCTTGAGCCTTCTCACTGTCCTCTCGTTGTCAAGAAGCTGTATCGCTTCCATGTTGGTGTGGTAGTGAAGCTGATCTTCGTGCTTTAATTTCTGCAGTGACCATCCTAATGCCAAGATCCCTGTGGATGTCACTATTACGGGCATACCAAGGGTCATTTACTATTCCCTCAGCACGTTGTTCTGAAATCTCTGTATTGTTTGAATGCTACTCGTACTGGCACAACCCACAGCTGTATTCCATAAGTCCAGACCAGTTTTATGACCTGGTTGTATACTAGTTTTTTTTTGTATTGATAGCTGGGACGTACTACCAATGATAAGCGAATATTAATATTTACTTACAAGCATTTATTTATTTATTTTCCTTTTGTTTTATCCTCATGTTCCTGCTCTCATTTCTAACAGTGAATTGAAATGAAACAAGTTCTGACTAGACCTCATAAAACAAACTTTTGCACTTCAAAAAACCTGGAGTCAACATATGTGTATCATTACCAACATTCCTGTGAACAGAATGGCTTGACAGCCAGAGTGTAATATAGAGAAATATGCTGGAGTTAAAAGGTCAATCCATGGGACTTCTTTCCACAGCCTCAGTAATATTTATGAAGGATACTGACATCTCCATTACAGTATCTGAACTACAATGACCCTAAAACTGAGAGCTAGAATCATTCTAAGTTGAATTTTTACTACAAAATATGTCAGTAAGATTTAATGTGTATCAACTGAAGAATCAATCATATATCATGGGCACTAGCAGGGGGACATAGAAGCCACCAGGTATTTTATGGTGGAGCCAGAAAATTAGCTTACAAACTTAGATATTTTTGTCATTTAAGACTACTTTTATTTATTCTTTCAAAATAGTTATATTTTTTATTATTAAAATTTGGCACCTCCCTCCTCTTCATCAATTGTAATGCTTTTAAAGATATAATGGGGGAGAGAGATGGCTAGGAAGGCAGAAATGTACCATATATTAATATGAGATATTAAAATTATTTTTAAAACCTGCATTTGTTTATCCTGAATACCCTAGGGCATTAGTAAATTTAGTCTTAGATGACTAAAAATATGAATACTGTTATCTGTGATGTCATGCTGTGTAGTCAGGTAAAAGTCCACCAGTGTGTCAGAGGAACTTAATTCCCCCAATCTTCAGGGTCAAAGTGTAGGCCGGACTTAAACGTAAGTAAAATACCATCTTGGGGGGTGTAACGCTGCATAGTCTAGTAGAAGTCCACCGGTGCTTCAGAGGAATATGCTACTCCCATCATTAGAGTCACATTGTAAGGGGAGTGGCTAATTCTCAAGACAGAAGTTGTCAGTTGTTCTTTTGTTCCCATTGCTTCCAGGAATCTGTGCGGTTTCCTAAATACTGGGTGTGGTGGCACCGTGTATATTGGAATACTTGATGGAGGAAGAGTTCAGGGTGTGCGACTAACACGATATCAACAGGATCACTTGCTGCTCAGTCTTCAGGATGCTATGAATGCTTTCAGGCCACCTGTTCCACGTTTCATGTACACTACTGAATTTGTACCAGTCCTTGAACCAGGAGATGAATATCCATATCAGTTGTAAGGACACCTTTATATACAGCTCTTGTCTTTAGCCTTCATGGGCTGCATCTAAGGCATAACTTTTGTTCTACGGGATAAATCATTCTGAAGGAAATTGATGGTGATTGTAACACGGGCCAAAACATTGAAACAGCTTCAACTTATGATGCAGATAAGTCAATTTACATATTTTAAAAATGTCTGTACAGTGAAACCCCCACAACTTGAAGATTTTCAGGTATGCCACTCACCAAACAAGTAAAAATTTCTTGCAAAAATGTAAAATGTTAGTTTCATATGACAGGACTAAATAAAAATACTCTTTTTTCAAAAAGTTAGCTATATTTGATTCTAACAGGCATTCAACATGTCTTGGGAATATATAAATAGAACACAGCTCATGTTAAATACTTATTTTCAGTGACTTCATAATAAGGAATTATACTGAAGCATATTTTGCTATGCAGTATACTGCTGAGACAGATGTCTTTGTGCACACTGCTGCAGTTCAAGCAGATATCACAAACAGAACATTGGAACAATATACTCACAGTGTATTGCTAAAATCAGTGAGCTTTGGTGTAGGATTTATGCTTCATAGCTAAAAATTTTAGGAGCCTTTATAGTGACAGCACTATGGGCTGGACAGCCCAGGTTCTATTGCCAGCATGGCAAGATATTTCTCTTCTTCAAAATGTCCAGACTGGCTCTGGTGTCCTCCCAGCCTCTTATCTGATGGATACTAGAGGTGATTTCCCAAGGAGTAAGGCAGTTGGGGTGTGAAGATGACCACTTACCTCCATCTAGTACCAAGGGCAAGAAGGGTGGAGCTATACCTCCATTCCCCCATATGTCTTCATGGCATAGTGCTGAATTAATTATGCACAGGGACAACTTTACCTTTCGCAAAAAATTTTGACCAACAAATGTGTTCAACCCTAATCAGAACCCAAAGCAGGAATTCTTTAAGCAATAATTATAGAACAACAAATCAGCACTGATCAGTTGAAGTGCTGAAGCCTATTAGTGGCAGTATGACAATATGCTGATGTAAGACATTCTCATGCTGCAGATACTATATGTATGGAATTTGGCATGTCATGGAAAAGAGAGTCAGAGTTCATGTCTTTGTAAGATTGTAGGTACTGTTCTATGCTACCTGATGTGCAACGGGGGCAACATAAGAAAATCATGTAGTCCATCTAGTACAGTAACCTTGGTACCGCCATGGTTGCAGGTTCCAAGATTCAGCAAACTACATAAAAAAGACCGGTAAAGCTATGCCTGTAACAGGCCGTGGAGGCCCATGGGATTGTGAGATGTCAAGAATGCCATGTTTTCTAGACAGTTGGTTTGAAGATGGGGGTGAGATTGTCAGCCTTATGTGCCAGCAGTCCTTCAACCCCAGCAAGATTCCTGGTAGTCATTCCTGTTAGAGGCTAGGTTGACCCCAGAGCCATTTACTTTTTAAACCATATTGTGTTAATCTGTCTGCCTGACCTTCATATTCTTGTACAATGAACTAGGAAAATTTATCCTTGTCACCAAGCACTATCCCATGAAGCCATTTAGGAGAAGTAGAGGTAAAGCTCCATGTTTTCCTAACCTCAGCACTAGATGGAGGTGAGTGGTCTGCTTCATGCTCCAGCCACTTTCCTTCTGCAAAGAGTTCCTAGACCTGAAGCCAGTCTGGTCATGGTAATGAACGGAAGAAAAGAACCTGTTTTCCTGGGAATACAGTTCCAGACATTTATCAATAGAGTACATTACACATTACACTAGTGTTATGTATGTTATCACTGTTCTGAACTGCATTTTGGAATCTTTTCCATACCAAGTATTTATGAATTTTAATGCTCCTTTCAGCCTACCTGTTTCTGAGAAGGTCCGAGCACAACCTCATTATCTTCGCTCACATTTATTCTGTTGGTGTGATTATGATGCTTTAGGGAGCTTCAATGGTGTAAGTATTCATGTTCCTTGAGATGCATGTTTCAAATAAGATGTGGTAGTTTGTTAATACCTGCACTCTTTCAAAGTAACCAAGTGGCTAGGATTGAGCTCCGTCCCAACAAAATGGACAGGGGACACAGTCCTTCTGTGAACAGGTTGCTGAAGCCTATCATTCACATTCTGCAGGAATGCTAAAAGGTTCTTATGAAGGATAAGATTTGCTGGATTTCCTCTGCACAGAGTTCTTACAATAGCCCTCTTGTACTCACCTCTTCAAGGCCTCAGGTTGCCCTTCGCAGGGCCTACACTTCCAATTGGCCACCTGTGTCTCCATTTTCTCTTCTATATCCCTGGTACTGATTGGCCACTCCTCCTGTCTTCCATGACCTCAGTTATCTTTCCTAGCCTGTCCATTTGCCAGCTTAGACCACTTATACCCCTATGATGGATGCAGCATGTTCTTTCCAGTTCATACAGTGTCCTACCTCAGAATCTTTAATTTCTCATACTTTAATCTTTAATTAATTTAATCTGACACATCAAAACTCAGAATTAAATAAACCATGGAATTAATATATGTTAAATAAAGAGACAAAAAGATGGTGTAAGTAAAAATTTCGTGTGCATAGTCAGACTTTTCCCAGTTACAATTTCTTACAACTCTGAAATAACATACACAGTTTGCCTAACCAACACTGCCAATGCTGTGAACTGCTGGCAAGTAATTTGCTTTGGTTGCAGTTAGAAGACCACTCCCATATTCTTTTAATCCTAAATTATGGAGGAATCCCTGTACTCCATTGGGGGTTAAACACATTTTGTGCTGTAACATTAACCTGCATCAGGGCATCAGCAAGTACAAATATGCAGGAGAGTAAATTTTCTTAAATGCCTAGCACAGAACAATGTGGTTGAGTGGGTAGCACTCCAGCTTTGAATGAAGGAGCTTCCAGCTTCAAATTTCAGATGGCAGACCAGCAATTATGATGAGCTTTTTGTGCTTCTCTTCAGACCCTCTCCAGGCAAATGCTGGGATGGTACCTCAAATTAGGGCATAACTGCTTCCTTCCACATTCTGTCCAATTCATTATTCACCCGTCACTATACCACTTGACACTGTAGTCTCACCAGCTGACAGCACTGTCAAATAAAACCAAAAATGAACACAAGTGACTAGGAGATCTAAGTTGAAATTCTCTGTTACAACAGGGTGTCATTCCTATGTCATACGTTGTGGAAATCAGTATCATACCAATATACCGTGATGATCCATGGGTCCGAGCCTTTATACCCGACTGTAAAATAGCAACTAATCCCATATTCCAATGTGAAGATGGCCAGATCTACTTCAGGAAACAGTCTACACTTGTCACGGTAATCTGATAAAGTTCAAGCATAACTTTAGAATAATATGAATATATGATACTTCCCATCCTTTCAGTATAGTGACACTATCAGAAATGAAAATTGTCTGTTTTCTGTTTCCTGTGTACACAGATGTTTTGAAATCACACTCTTGCTAATCTAATATGGATGGAAGCTGAGGCTTTTAAATTGGTGTACAAACATTACAGTAGTTTTTATGATGTGATCTGAATTTCCCATTGCCAGTCTATTTTATTAATTAAACTTCACATCTTACTACCCTCTTTAAAGTTTTGGTTATAGTATACTGCGACACTGACATGAAAAGCAAACACATCCTTGGTGAAAAACAGATTCTTATGGTCGTTCCTTATACAACTGCTTGGAATGTTAGATGACACAAGACAGAGCTCACATGGAAAGTTTGGATAAGCTGTGTTCAGTATTCATTGAACAGTAGCCTGTTAGATCGCTGTGTGTCGTCAACTCTGTCCAGACATAAAATGGAGCATATGATGGAACACAGAGTGAGTGTGAATTTTTGTGTTAAACTGCAGAAATCGCTGAGTGAAGCATTAGAGATGTTAAACAGTTTATGGTTGAATCCCCAGGCCAGAGAAGCTACGGATGTCAAAGTCCAAGATCAAAATAATGTTGATCTGCTTTCTCGACATCAGGGGTATCATCCACTTTGAATCTGTAGCCAAAGGGACCACTGCTAATCACACATTCTACATCACCATAACAACATGCCTGCACATTCTTCGCTTCAAGTGTAGCAGTTTTTAGCAGGAAAGAGTACCTCCACCGTGGATCATCTGCTGTACTCTCCTAACTTGGCTCCAGCTTTCTTAATTGGCTGTTTCCAAAACTCAAGAGTTTGCTGAAAGGAAAGCATTTTTCAAATGTTGAGAACATCTAATCTTTTGTGAAAAAAAATGTTGACAGCATACCTGTTCACGATTTTAACTGTCTTGAACAATGGCTTAAGCACTGTGAACACAGTAAAAAATTGGAGGGAGATTACTCTGAAAATTTCTAGGTTGCTAATATCTGCAGCTCTTAATATAGTTAAAAAAAGCTGTCTTGAAACTTATTTGCCGAACTTTGCATTCTTGGGCCAGCAAGCACAGCTATATCATCATCAGCTTATGATGTACACCATTATGTCCATCATTAAAAAGTTATTAGAGTTATTTCCAAAATACTTCTGGTCTTCATGCACCAGTGGGAAATTCAAACATGCTATGTTAAAACTTCTCTCGCTAGATGGCAGAGGATATGTGTGGCTGTTGCAAAAGTACTACATGTGTTCTGTATCATTAAACTATAGAGGACATTGCATTTTGGTGGGTTGTATATCCATGAAGCCAGTGTCTGTTGTTTTAGCAGTATTCATTGCGGGATGTGGAGCAGCTTGCCCGCGAGGAAGTGCTCCTGTACAGAATGCCACAGTTGATGAAAGCCTGGAAAGATATGATGACATATAGGACACTGCAGCAACTTGTTGATGAAGCCCTGGATCAGAAGAAAGACAATTCTTGCAACGAAGACCAAAAGAAATGAGTTCACATGTATGCCAATTAATATGACAGAATCAGTAACAGTGAGCAGATACTTTAACCATACATAATGCTTTAACTGTAGTGGTTTGAATGTCATTTGAATGTTTCACATGTTCCATAAATATTCATATTTATGCTGGTTTACATAAGTCGGAGTTATTACTAATCGTACAATGTAAAAGTTTCAACTTAACAAATTCAGGGAAAAATTTATGGGGCCATGTTTATTTCCGCCAAGTTCAATAAATGGTGAAACTAGCAAATCTGTATACTGTATTAATAATTTACAATTTAGTGATCCATTTCTATCCACAAAAGTTGGCACTGAACTTCACCAACAAGCAGGGCCGCTTGGTTGATATAGTTCGCTTGTGGACTAAAATCACAGAGTTTGTTTTGTTGTTTGAGTAGTAGTGAAAGTGACTTAGACAGTGGCAGTGACAGGGGACAACAAACAATTGTGGCCACAGACAATAAAAGTGAAAGTAGCACCAAGGGAAGTGCAGGTAGTAAAATTGCGGGGACAGCCACGTGGGGAAAAGCAGACAAAACACCTACTTTGGGACAGTTTACTGGAAATCCAGGGGTGAAACAAATTCCATCGGACCCAACGAAAGTGTCTAAAGTAGCAGGACTGTTTTTTGGAGATAGGGATACTCATGTTGTGAATATGATTTCCACAATTCACAATTCGAGCATGGTTGATGTTCAAAGGAGACATGGACAAGTAAAGAAGCCTATTTGTATTTCTGAGTCACAATATGTTCATGAAGGGAGCTGATAGAGCTGATCAATACTTGGCCTATTATTCTCTTCCTAGGAAAACAATAAAGTGGACAAAGAAAGTTGCCTTGCGGCTTATAAATTGTGCCATTTTCAATTCATTTTTGGTTTACAAAAATCTAAACCGATTCAAAATTGAAATACAAAGCATTTCTGATGAATGTGGCAAAGGCCTAGGCTACAGACCAGATGGTGGCAGCAGAACAAGAGTCAGACACAGACATAGTGCGACCATGCCCATCTACTCCCACCCCACGCAGACCTCATGTGGACACCCCTGGGCGACTCTTGGGTGATATGCGGAAACGTACCCTCGTGAAAACTGTGAAGAGTGAACATTCCAAGGGGAAGCATCCTTCTAGGCAATGCCATGTTTGCTCAGCTCACAGAAAAAGGAGTATGACTGCCTACATTTGCAAGTTCTGTGTAATGTCACTTCACACAGGGGCATGTTTCCAGAAATATCACACTCTCAAGCACTTCCAGGAGCATTGGTAAGTATTCTCCAAAAATTTTAGTTCATAAAATTAATTAGGAGATTTCATATTAATTTTTTAAGTGAACAGTGCACAAGTTAGGGTACTGGGTTTAAAAACGCCAGTCCCCAGGGTGATTTAAATATTTAAATTGCCGGTCCTCAACGTGTTAAAGTCAGGAGGAGAAAACTGTGAAAGAGATTCCACTCACTAATACTTGGCGATAAAATAAATGCAAACTTTTCAGAATGATACTTGGTGAAGTTATGTACCAGCTCAACACCAAACTGAATTCCACAGTACTGTCTCTAGAATTTGAAGGGGAGGAAAAATAAGCACATGCAAGACTTTGGTTGAATCAACTGTGAGGCTCAATGATACTTCTAAAATTCAAGCAAATTTTTTATTTATATATTTTGCATCTTGTTGTGCATAAATGTCAATGGTACTGGGTCTACTGACACAACAATAAGTGGGTTGATTATAGTTTTATAAATGATTGCAACATATATAATATAATCATCAGTTTATTATAACTATCACACTACACTACTGTAACCAGCCACATTCCTAAACACACTAAAGCAGCTATTTACAGCAACATATTCTATGATGTCCAATAAACCATGATGACATGGCTTCATCTCTGTGCCATTATATCTCTCAAAACATGAAACACTCACTGAAACTTCCAAAACTTCAATTACTACACACTTATATATCACATTGCAGCAACACATAAAAGATCTTTCATTCATTCAATACAACACACCCATCACACCTAACAATGTCTTTCAAACATACACTACTTCAAGAACATCTAAAAGAAAATTAAGCTACAGTATATAAACACCGCATCATTCACATTACAAAACTACACATGCATGATACAAAAACTGAAACTACAATCACATACCACCTCCTTCCTCCCCATGTAAAACAAACATAACATTCCACACAATTGCCATTCTCAATGTTTATACAGTTTTAACAATGTTATGACATTTGGAAACTGGATCTATTTACTCATACAAGGCTGCAATAACATATCTATTTATATATATACACACACTTGATGATGGTCTCCAGACCAAACAACTAGTGTGATATAAGAAACTGTTATATACATGTTCCAAATGTTTATAAAACTGTAATCAACCCTCTCCTTGTTGTGTGGATGGCCCTGGTACCAGTGTCGAGCAAATAAATTCCATTTGGGGAGTTCCACATGTTGACTGCAAAAGCCTGAAGGGTGTTCTACACATACACAGGGAACCACACAGCAATACTTCTTGATGAAATGTCTAAAACTGAGTCTGTTTATTTGAATCACATGGGCTTTAATGTCACTCAACACACAGAATTAAACCAATATTTTTTCACCACTTTATATTAAGTGCAGTAGTCATCTTTTCTACTGAATGATACTTTGTATGCAACATGGCTACACATTTATCACTGTGAGCTCCTTCAAGCCATGTACTGTAGAGCTCCTGGACTGTGTGATTTTCTTCAGGTACTTGTTTCTGTAAGGACTCATACACTGCCTCTAGCCGCATCGTCAGTTCTCTGGGAGAGGAACCGTCCTGTGGCCGAACTTGAGCACCTCCATTCAGGCAGCCTGCATATAAATCATAATCACAAGTGAAATACGTACAGGAAATTCCAAACTTAAATTAATGACAGAATTCAGAATACCTCAAAGCAGCACCACAACAGTTCTGTCCATAATGTATATTTCAAACATTCAAGAGCATGAGACATTGAAAAGACCAGACATGGAGAAAGGAAAAGCATAAAAGCTGCTGGTAAGGTCATAGAGAGAACAATAAGAAATGAAGTTAAGAGCTCCTCATTAACAGTTAAAGAGTTCCATCTGTGAGACAGATGCAAACAGCAGCAGACTTAGTCAAATGTCTGAAACACATTAAAGAGTCCTAAATCCAGTAACAGAACTGGGTATCACAGGAATGGAATAATGTTTAAGAATGCAGTTTCTACCCCACAATAAACACTGCATCTCCATTATGAAGACCAACTGGTTAGTCTCTTCAAGAAAATACAGTAATTCCTATTCATTCAGAGAACCTTTCTTTCAAAGGTTATTTAACGCTTTCACTATCAAGACTGAGTAATTTTGCATTAAGGGATAAACTATAAATGGTGAATTACAAAGGATTTTAAAGGAAGCAATCTTGGCCTAATTAAGGTACTATCCCAGCACTTGCCTGATGGATGAGGAAATTCATACAGATGTTTGGTTGAAAAATTTCAAGGGAAACAAGACCCAACAAGATGTTAATAAAAGAATAACACCAAGTACTGAACAGGTTACACACAACTTCTTATTCTAAAATGTTTTGTGTACCTTTCTTCGGTAATGCAATAAATAAATACAAACTGTATTTTGCAGGAGATATGAAATTTGCCCTAATGTGGTGTATGAGTCATTACAGCATATGCATGTATAAGGAGAAGACACAGCTGTTTGGTGTCTCAGTCATTTCACTGCAGTTTCCATGGTACAGTAGCTGAATAAATTAAGATTCAGTCTCTTAAATTTTTGACTAATATAATCCGGGGGGGGGGATGTGCTTCCTCAAATGCAATCTCAGTTAAAAAAAATCACAGAAACATGAGTCAAATAAAAGGACCTGCAGGTAATTATGCTTGACACCTGCTTTAACATAAAAAACTGTGCATTCTGTTCACACAGTGTATTTAAGTGCTTTATACTGTCACATGGCATGACCTAAGATATTAGGTTTGGATTGGTAACTAAATTTATTGGACATTCACACTCATAACAGAAATAACTATGACAGTCCCACTATGTTGCACACTCCTAAGATCATTGTAACTATTGTACACATAAAGTCTTATCAGCCTTCACTGGCCACTGCTTGGTTGTGGCTTCCAGTGATAGACATTCCCATTCTTCTGGGTTCCCGAACTGTCCTCGGCCTCAGCTACCTGCTTCTAATTTCTCACAACTGTAACTCTCAAATGACTCAACAAATGAACTGCTATTCACCATTATACAGCTCTGGCATGGACCACACAGAAAACATCCATTATTGCATGTTCTCTTGTCGCTGGGGAAACAAGATGTCTACAGTCCCTAGCAATGGCTGTTGTACTGTCGCCTGTTTACACAGCTGTTACTTGGCAATGGGTCTACATGTCCCAATATGATTCTCGCAGCAAAAGCAATTATCCCCATGAACAACATTAACTGTTGGGATTTGTGACAGTGAAGCAGTGTGCTTTCTGTGTAATAAGAACTGAATTTTTAGATGTTGAAAATGTTAAAATATATAATTTTCATCACCAATGTGTGAATCCCTTATTCTCACTGCTGTCCTATCTGTGCACCGCAGCCTGACCACACTTTCTGCTATCTACTCAATTAGCACTATGGGCTTTGTTTCACAAATCCAATCATAATGGCCCATACTGAAGAAATAGAAAAGACAGGTTTTGAGAAGCTCTTCTAAATAACATTCTACATGAAAATAACAACAGCTGATGATAGATTATTGCTGGCAGATCCACCCACCACTAGAATTAGTACCACCTGTATGCATTGAACTTCTGTGGCACAAAGACAAACAGAATGACGATGTGAACATGTGATATATCCACAGGGAAGTGAGTACCTGATGGGCAAGCCATGACCTCAACATAATGGTAACTGCTCTTTCCTCGTTTCATCTTCTGAACTAAATTCTGAATATTTCGGAAACCATTGGCAATAGCAAACCGCAGCAATATTCTTCCATCTTGTTCCAGAATTACCTCACGAAAGTCTGGGTTCCTGAAAATATTAAATTGTAAAGTCTGGATGTGAATAAACAGGAATGACATTCACAGCAAGATAAATGCAAAGTGATGTAACATACATGAAGAAAACAAAGAAATGCAGACAATTATGGAATGCTGCTGTACATAAAACACAACATGAGTACCATACTGTGGATTTCACATTTCTAACCTACATTTTTTTGGGGACTAGAATGATCTGGCTCAGGGCAGGATCAACTGGCAGATCTCGTAATGATAATTCATTCCATAAAAGATGGGAAATGTTTAATGTGATTATTAATTTGTCAAGAAAGACTCTGGTTCTTGTATTGAGCTAGTTTAGCATAAAGTGGGTGTAATGAACATATGAGGGGCCAGTCATGTTTGTTCATCCACATGTTCCATCTCCAAAAACTGGAGCTGAGGGTGTGAACATATAGTTGCTGGGCAAATTCCACCTTCTGGGATATAATGTCACATAATGTTGAAAATCAGAGCTCTGTCATGTGCATGAAGTGACTATAGACAGGTTTTGGACTGGTAATTGGATTTACTGAACACTTACACATTGTAACTACAGTGAAATTGCTAATTCACACACTCTGCAGTTCACTACAGCATGTCCTGAGCCTTCTCAGATTGCTGTGTCTTCACCAGTCTTTGCCTGGTGACAGATAAAATATGTCCTCTGCTTCTGTGCACATGTTCTTATTAGCTGGCAACTGTCTTACAACTAACTCATGGCTTCTGCTGTCCTACTTATAACATCTAAGCATGGACTGCATAGAAAACGTTGTTCCTCTGTTGTGTTCACATCTGTTGGGATGCCCATATGATTGTTACTCAGCCACTGCCTAGCCAACGGCCATTGTTTACAGAGCAATTACTTAGCAACGGCTGTTGTATAGCTGCTTATTTTGTGGTCGTTGCCTAGTAATGGGTCCACATGTCACAATACATATTTCATGCTGGCTTCTCTCTCAGTTTACTCTTCAACACTAAAGATGGAAATGAAGTGTCCCTTTAAAACATCAACTGACTTTTAGCAGACTGAACAGAAGACAGAACTCTTTGTAGCCACTACTGTGAGAACTTTGTATCCAAATTTAATTCTGATCAATATCAGTCCAGTGACACAAGAAAACCAAACTAAATGTCATCAGCTAGATTAAAATAAAGGAAAAAGAAAAAGACCTCAAGCTTGCAAGCACTCATCTAATGACATTAGCAAGACAAGGCTACTGAACTAATCAGTTGCTCAAGAATTACCTGAGTGATTTATACTGAAGATCTGGATGACTGTTACCAAATAGTTCTCTAGCAGCATGAAGAAAAATGAGATCAGCATAGCCTCCAGAGCCTGACCCTTGATGTGACACTAGTGCTGAATTAGATGGTAATGTCTTGCTCCAGGGAAAGTCAAGTTGAACTGAATCCATGGAAGCCAGGCTCTGGTTGTCACGCTGCAGAAGCTGTTCCAGTTCAACTGTAAGAGTAGCCATACAGCTCATGTAGAGAAGGCATGTTTATTTACTTTATGGTACTGTCAGTAGCTCAGTGTGCAAGGGCTGAATGGTTGGATAATAGTGAATAATGAATTGGTATGGATGTGGACTGAAGCGATTGTGGCCTAATCTGAGGAAATATTCCAATGTCTCCTTGCAGGGACTAAGTAAAACCATCAAAAACCTGTCATGGTAGCTGACCTCTGGGTTGACATTTGAACTCAGTATCTCTCAAAATTGAAGGGGTGATAATCACTTGATCCTGAAATTCAGTGTATAAGAATCAATAGTACTTCCAGAAGAAATTTCTTACCATTTAAGATTTTCTTCATGTTAGGGAACTCAGGTTACTCTGTGCTAAATCTGGCATGGACAGCCACTGAGAACTTGAGTGTCTGCCAGCGAACTCCCTTACTTTATGCTGAATCATCTGGTATTTGTTATAGAAAGTTCACAAATCATTTTCTGTGTCATAAATTTTATCACAAAAGCAGTCAGCTGTTCCCTCAACATGCAAGGTAAATCAACAACCACAGAGTACCACCTTCCACAGAAGTTCAGCCACCTCTGAGGGCAGCTAAATGGTCAAACGTTTCAGATGGTTTAAGAGTTTCTTCTCCAGAAGGGATTCCTAACATTCTGTAGGTTTCTGTAGCTGTTTCTCCAATTTAAAGAACACACTTGCTCCTTAGCTGTACCACATGAAATACGAGGGCTATTTGGAAAGTAACCTCCGTTTACTTTAGGCAACTAATGTAGGAGCAGGGGCGAGCTTGCACATGCAAGTTAGTGCCACATGACTCACTGCCTTGTAAACCATCACATAACTGGTCACCCGGTGACTTGTTCTTGTCTCTACAGGGTGAGTTATGTGTCCTGCAATTGATAATTCCACCAGCTGTAAAATTCATGCTGTTATCCACTTTCTTCATGCTAAAAACAATGAGTGCTGCAGAAATCCATTGTGAATTATGCACAGTTTACAACCAAAACATAATGAGTGAAGGATCTGTAAGATGGGCAGGACTAATGGAGAGGTAAGCTTATAAAAAGCCAAAATGAAAATTCACTCACTTGCTGTGATGACGCAGTCCACATCTCGTGTGTGTAACTGCTGGTTTGTGAAGTCTTCACGGGAAGCCTCTAGCTTCTTGTCATAACATGGCATCAACGTAACATGATAGATTGAGTCAGGTGTCCTTCCCAGCTCACGTGCCAAATGATCCTTAATGAGAGATCCCATTATCTGCTGTGGCGATTTTGTGGTGGCTATATGTGGAATAACTAAACTGCCATGAGTCTTCTCTGCATAGCACACCCAACCTGTCACAGAAAAGGTGCTGGAAAACACACATTTCCAGAACATCTTTGTGATTCTGCACACCCCACTGGCCTTCATGTTCATTTCCTGCCAATCACAGGGTGTAGCTGTGTCATATACTGAAGCTATCATGGCTTAACCATCAAGGCTATCACGATTTCACTATTTCATGCATTGAGCTAAACCATGGAAGCTTTCAAGGATTACCATTCTCGTATGTTGAAGCTGTCACAGCTAAATCATAAGAACCTTCAGGGTTTAGCCTTCTCATATGTTGTAGCTGTCATGATTTACCCGACCCAGACCACTGGTCCCATTAGTCATGGGTCCTGCAGGGCCTGAAACCAAGAATGACTTGTGCTGGCGAGGGCCAGCAGCAATTTACCAATCAGACAGGCAAGGCTATGATCAGCTCTTAGTGGTTAGTAGTCAGAGGCAAGCGAGAACAGGAGGCTTTCATGGCAGTAGTAGTAATGAGAATTGCGACTGTCAGAAGCCTCTATCAAGCAATGAACATTGAAGACAGTGATTGGGAAGACTTTGGGTGCACTGTTGTGACTTGCAGAGCATGCAGAACAGGGAAAGGGCTGTTTGTGGTTACAAGTATCAACAGTGTCTAGTGACTGATATGTGACATAATGTTGCTGTTATCAAGGTTCAGTCACTTCATATCCTGAGGCTGTTGTGGCTAAACCACAGAAAAAAAAGTTATACACTAGACACGAGCCATGCTAAAACTTAGACAATAATATGCCTTTTCTGTTGTACAACAGAAAATAAATTCATGAATCTGGAAAAGGCTGGCAAAAACACTCAGCTTGGTCAGTCACTGCTTTTGTCAGTGTGATGCTGACTCCAGTACTTCAGGAAAGCAGGTCACAGTCAGACAGGTTGAAACCTCATCCAATTGCACCACCACACACAATATTGCCTCATACCTGGGCATGAGGATGCCAACATTGGCAAAAATTCTGAGCTATTTGCAGCTTCTTCAGCAGCTCTGTATCGTTCCACAAATTCCCGCTGATTTTCAAGTAGTGCAAAATCATCAGCAACCACCATATCTAACACCAGGTCAGCACCAAGCATCCTGAAATAGCCTGTGTATAAAATGCAAATACTGTCATCACATTAAAAAATAATAATTATATAATTTTTATAATAAACATTTTATAGTGGCATAATGTACAGATAAGGGTAAAAATATCAGTTATTAGCTTCAGAACTAAATGCCCACATTCTATCATGCCTGCAACAAAACTACAAGGATGATTCGAACTGGGTAAGATCCATACAAAAACATATCTTGAACCATTTATATAAGTAGTAATTTATGCTGTTATATTCCATATGAAAAGGTAAAGTCCCTACGCTTAACCAATTAAGCACTATGTCATAAAGACGCACTGGAGAGTGGATGTATAGATGCAAATTTTCTTGTTCTTGACAGTTGTAATCCATAGGAGTTCAAATATTGGTCAGAACGATTTGAGGCCAGTAATGTAACACACAGTTTAAATACTTAATTTTACCACTTTAAGCTTTCAGAAATACTGAGGCATGCAACAATCTCCTTTGTTTCTGACCTCATTTGAGCAGCCTTGCAACACTGCACTTCATCCTTTACTTGGGACAAGCAGAAAATGTGTTGCATGCAGCATCAGGCATCATCACGCGATATGCTACATGTCGCAGCTGCCTAATGCTGCTGTAGCGTAACTGTGCCTTGCCTGAGCAAAATGAACATACCCGACAGTTTGTGTGCTGTTTCATCTGGGGACAGATTATACCTTACTGCTAATGACAGAATAGGCTGTAGTGATAATGACACTACTATTAATTTTGCCATGTCTGATTTTCCATCCTGAAACAAAAACGTACTACATTAGAATAGGACAGGAAATAGGAAGGTACCTAGGTAGTACGTAGGAAGGTAGGCAGTTTGACTTTCTTAGGTGGGAGTCATCATGTTGCTGGGGCAAAGTACTGTCTCAGTCACGATGCTGACGTTGCGGTCTGCGTATCTGTTTTTGGTGGAAAGGATACTGATGCCTTGAGGCTGGATGTCATGTCAGAAACTAACTAAGCATAGGGACTTCACCTTCATAGAAGAGATTAGTCAAAACCAAGAGAACTGAATCACTTCCTCTTGTCCCCACCTACAGCCTCCTAGCATTCTACCTGCATGCTGCCTACAAAAACTGGCACACTCATTACTCTTTTATTCAATAGAGGTGCAACTGAGATAAATTATAACTATATGAAACCTTTGTCTAATCTAACTTCAATGAAAACAGTACACATAACTTTTCTAAACAATGCAGCCATAAAGCAAACTTATCCATCATGGGTCAGCCCAGCTTCACAGGAGAAGGGTCTGTCTCTTTTGCCTCCACACATGCTCAGGGAAACACACTGTACTTTGCTACAATGCATGCAGCACTGAAAACAATGTTTACTTCCTTCAGCCACATTTACAGAATAACTGCACAGAAACTGAACACACCGCAACCAGTTCAAGGTTAGAGCATAATAACTGCACAGAAACTGAACACACTGCAACCAGTTCAAGGTTAGAGCATGAGGAAACATGCTGGCAGCCAGACAGACAGTGAGAATCTGAATGTAAATTAATCCACTGCTTCAGATTAGTATAAAAAGTTTATGATTACAGCCTTCTGGAATTTGACACAACAGAAAGGAGAAATGTTGATAACTATCTACCTTACCACACGATGTCACATTCCAGAAGATACTGATGCTGTAAGAGCCTCAAATCTTACAAAAATTTAATTTAGATCTTACCACATGAAGCTGCTTATTTTTCTCGAAAACACGAATCATTTCTTCCTGGCTCTGCTGTGTCACAAGCACACTTTCAGCCGATGTGATGCAGCCACTGCAAGCCAAGCAGTCTGACAAAGAAATCTCCACTTTTTTAAGTTTCTGTATGCCACCACCCTACAGTGAACAAAACAGTCTGTTACAATGCACATTAAAAACTGACCTTGGCATTGTATTAGGAAATGACAAACATCAGACATTAATTTTTTATTATTTCTTACAGAAAACCGTCATAACACAACAATCAATAATACGTGTAACAGCTCTTGGAGACACTTCTGCCACATGTTTCGGCCTTCAAAAGGCCATCATCAGGCAAATACATTAAACTTTTCGTTACTGAATTGCATGTTAAATATAGAATACAGTGCCAAACTTCCAAGTGCACACAATCGTATAAAATTATATGAGTGACTATAAAATATAAATTACAATAAAAGTTGAAGTCCCAAACAACCAGTTACATAGTCAAAAGTATGAGTATGAGTGGTGAGCCATAAAACTGGCCCTAGCACTGTGACCTTCAATAGTCTATTGTGCTTTAGTCAAAAGTATAGTTAAAAGTTGTATATGCAATGGTATTTGGAAGTTGGCAGTTGTAATCATAATATATGTAATGCTTATATGGACATATTATATACACAATGGCTGATGTGGTGTTTGGAGGCCTGTTGTTATGTTGTATGTTATTGCTTAATATTTGATACTATTTGATGGGCGACTCTGTTGTATAAATGTCTGATTTGATGGAGAGATATATTACAATTACAAACAGATGTGTATACTTAATACTGCACCAAAACTCCAACTCAATCAACTTCACATCTGTAACCCATGTTGCGTTACTAGAGTTAAAACCCGTTCAACAAAGGGCTATTTAACAGCATCAATGAGAAATCTGCTGTTCTACAGCAATTTGGCCTTTAAAACGACATATTCTAAATTTTAATGTACTACATCTGTATTACTGCATGTTTAATTACATGACAAAGTTTACAGCAAAAAATCATAAAATATTCAATTTCGTCCTAACTACCTAGATCACACATAGGGGTTGATTAAAACTTTCTGTTCTATGGTGCAGGTAAAGTAGTAACACTATGAAATACTTCTCGGTTTTTTTAAGTTGCAGAAATACTGCCGAACCTCTTGAATCTGAATGTAGGACCCATCATCTTGTATTTTGATTTTAGCTCCAGTGCTACTATCTACTTTGTCAATCTTCACGGGTTTAATGCATTCCTGTGAACACAAACATTTCAGTAAGGTCAAGAATAAACATAATTAAGTTTCTGCCTTAATTAAAGCCATCTTTTACCTGAGAAGGTGTAATAAAATCGTCCAAGTCAGTCAGCTGTAAAACACCACTAAAACGAGACGCCATTGTGATATTGTAACATTATTAGCGTCACGGTATTCGTTCGTCGTTTGTTTCCTGGCGCGTGTGGCAAACCTTACGGTGGAGACAAATCCGCTAAACAGAAATAGCTTGTGCAACCTACGAACTGAAAATAATCTGGAACAGAGTTTAGCGTGTATTACCAACCCGAAATTTCGCATATGAATTTTTATGAGCCGTTTCTTACTGAAAACTTGCGTGCACCCATTTACCGAATGAATATACCGTACTGTCATTCGACGAACAATAACTTTTTATGAAGAAAGCAGTCTTCTGGGATTTGGCACCGTGTATATGTGGTGTTAACCGACGTTTCGGAGGAACCAGAAGACTGCTTTCTTCATAGTCACCGCCGTGAAAGCCTCAAATCTTACAATAACTTTTTATAGCGTATAAAGGATAACTCGTAGGCAGGGCTGGACATGGGGTTAGACAGAAGCAGACGGTGTTTACTTAACTCCTGAGCGTTTTTTATTTCCTGTAAGAAAGCTACGTACATACCTCAAGACTGCTCAAGACGTCGTAACTACAGTGCCATTCCCAATAGCGATATATGTATGAACGAATTTCCGAAACTACACTGTTGTAACTTCATAACACGTGTTGTACATTCCCCGGGCTTTTCTACAGATCTGAAGTGTACCTATTTCAGAGTTATTTCCATCTCCAAAGCGTACTGTCTTTTGGGATATAACGCCATGTATTCCTCTGAAAGCCAACCGGAGTTTCAGGGGAAAACATCACTTCCATACTTAGGGTCAGCTCTGCTTGCCACCTGCTTTAACACTCTTTCTAAGGGACCCAACAGAGTAGGTGTCTTCCCCCCCACCTCTCCCGAGGACGGAAACAGGTCCAGTTTCCGAAACGTTGTGTTTTCTAGTTCCTAGAGTACCGGACGATGTACAAAGTCCAAAACCCCAGTAATTCTGATCATTATACACCATCGTCAGGACTCTTTAGAATCTACTTCCTAATCTGTGTTTATACTGACTGAATGGGAGATGCTTAGCTATTGTACTGTGTTATTTCTACTATCATGTTCAGCAGTTTAAAGAACTTTACATAATTATGTTTCTGACGCTCTGAACAAGGGGCACACTGCCAGCTTAAGGTCACATCTGAGCATAAAGTGAAATGATAATTCTACTTATGAATTTTAATATATTGGTCACAGAGGAAGAGCAGAAAGAGTGTTTGGCAGGTACATGAAAGGACCAGATGGGTGAAGCGGTTTTCATTTGTACAGACTTGAACAAAAAATCAGTCAATTCTCTATGTGGCAAACTTAAATGGATTGAAATATGTACGTAATCAAAACATTAAATTCAAGACGCTATGCAAGATACAAGACAAAGAGCTAGCTGTTCAACTATAAATGAATACACTTTTGTCGTTCCCGTGAAAATTCTTATGACCCTTTATGACTAACTGTACAGTTTTCGTTGTATTTAATCGCAAAATCAAATATAAATTATAATATAATAATAAATACCAGAAAGTGTTTTAACCAAAGCACTTATTTATTAATGGAATACCTGGGTAGTTGAAATTCTGCAACATGCTTTAAACCTTTCCTACATTCTTAGCCCTGTGACCCATTCTCACCCGTGCACTTGAAAACGCTGCTGAGAGCGTTCCGGAGGGTGTAGTCCATAGGCTGTCATATCAACAACCCCAAATCCCTGAATCGTCTGCTGAACTGAAAACCACCCGTACAAGTCTTTGTTTCGGTCTTCACCGTTCCTATGCGTGTCTATGATTACCTTCCATTGAAGCGTGCCCCCATAATTCACTTCTTATTTCCTCATACTGAAACTACATGTGGCCTCCTTATCCATCAAAGTGGAGTACAAATAATAATAATAATAATAATAATAATAATAATAATAATAATAATAATAATAATAATAAGGCACAGTGTGAAAATAAAGTTCCCGAACTGACGCTATTACAGTAACACTACTAATGTCATCTATTCGGAATAAACGGAACTAGTTAGAGAGAACATTTATTTATTTATTTGATATGCAAGTTTCAACTTGTTTGCTTGATGCATATGAGGATTACAATTGATTTGGCCAAGTTAATTTTTTTTTGTTGTGTCGAAAGTTTCAAAATGGAACAAAGAGCAGCAATTAAGTTTTGTGTACGAGTAAAATTATGTGGCACAGTTCAGATATTTGTGAACGACGATAACAAATCAAAACCTGATTCAGGAGGAAATTAAGAGGAGACTGAACTCGGGTAATGCTTGCTGCCATTCAGTCCAGAACCTTTTATCTTCTCGTCTGTTGTCCAAAAACGCAAAAATTAGAATATACAAAACTATAATTTTGCTTGTGGTTCTGTATGGGTGTGAAACTTGGTCTCTGACATTAAGGGAGGAACATAGACTGAGGGTGTTTGAGAATAGGGTGTTGAGGAGAATATTTGGACAGAAGTGGGATGAAGTGACAGGAGGCTTGAAAAACTGCATAACGAGGAGCTTAATAACTTGTGATCTTCTCCAAGTATAATTAGAATGACCAAGTCAAGGAGAATGAGATGGCCAGGGCATGTAGCACGAATGGGGGAGACGAGGAATACATATAGGATATTTTGGGAAAGCCAGAAGGAAAGAGACTACTGGGAAGACCAAGGCGTAGGTGGGTGGACAATATTAAAATGGATCTTGGAGAGATAAGATGAGATGGTAGGTAATGGATTGAGCTGGCTCAGGATAGGGACCAGTGGAGGGCTTTTGTGAACGCGGTAATGAACCTTCGGGTTTCATAAAATGCCGGGAAATTCTTGAGTAGCTGCAGATTTGGCTTCTCCTCAAGAAGGGCTCAGCTCCATAAGGAAGTAAGTAAGTAAGTACGAGTAAAATTAAAGAAAACGACTACTGAACGTTTGAAATGTTGACAGGTGCTTGCGCTGAAGAATGTGTTTGAATGCCATAAAATGCTCAGAAGTACATGAGACAGTGAAAATGTAAGAATCGCGGGTGAAAACAATGTTAACTGCGCTGAAGGTATCATTCATCATGAATTTGTGTGATTTGTGAATCAGACTGTAAACAGTAAATTTTATAAAGAAGCTATTATGAGATCGATCGCTCGAGTTCATTTCCTTAGGCCTGAGTTTCAGGAAAGTGGGTTTTGGTATCTTCTGCACGGCAGTGCATCGCTGCATTCTTCGAGCGTTGTTTCCGAGTTTTTGGCGAAACGAGGGATCCCCGTGTTATCCCATCCACCCTGATTTAGTCCCCTGATTTATTTCCGGTTGACATCTTTTATTTCCTAAATTAAAAATTGCGAGGAAATGGACGAGATTCGAGGCTGTTTCATCGATCCAACAGACTGTGACTGAAGGAATTACGGGAAGCGTTTTCTCAGGCATTCGATCCATTGTACGGGCGATGTAAACGCTGTGTGGAAGCGGGCGGGGACTATATTGAGTGATGGTATTAATGACTATTTTTTATCATTTTTGTGTGGTTTCTTATGGCCTCAGTTCGGGAGCTTAATTGTCACTCTGTGTACATGCTACAAGCCGAAATGCCGCGGGTTAAATTCCCGGTGGGGTTATTGGATTTTTCAGCTCACCCAATCCTTCCAGCAGCACAATGGGCCCTGGGGTCGACTCAGCCTCTAACAGAAATGATTACCACTAATCTTCCTGGTGGTAAAGGGAGGCCCGCGCATAAGGCTGGCAACCTCACCGCCATCTGTGAACCTCGACGTCTCACAACCCTATGGGCCTCCACGGCCTGTTACAGGAATATTTCTTTTGCCATATATGACACCCTAATTGTTTCTTGTCCTTAATGATGGTGCCGCAAGTGTAAAAACGAGGCCATGATGGTTTATGGGCATTTAGCAGGAATCACTGAGGAGTATCAGACCAAGACAATGTAGTGTTTCAAGTTCTGTAAGGAACGTAACATCCAAAACAGGACAAATGCTGCTCACTGAAGTGGTAATGTACCTACCGTTTGCTCAGAGCACTGACTGCCAATGTCTCCAAGAGTTAAGTAACTACATGCAGTTGAATCTTCTACAGAAGCCGTCAGTTTCTCAGCTACTCAAGAAATTCCCTACATTTCACAGAACCCGAAGGTTCGTTACAGTATTCACAAGAGTCCTCCACAGGTCCCTATCCTCAATCAGATGAGTTCATCCCACAGCATCTCATCCTGTTTCTCTAAGATCTCAACACGAACGTGGCCCGATACTCTTGAGAACATTACGACAGATTTGAAATGTACTAGTTTTTTAGTGTTAGCCAGTATGTATTAAAATTTGAAGTTGGTTAAAATCAGTTCAGGAACTACAGTCACAATTTATTTTTTCTGTAATGACTGATCTTCCGTGGTAAATTTAATCGGGGAACAAGCGATTTGTGAATGTGAAAACACGAAGTTCAAGGCTTATATTTGGGAGGTGCCGGTTGAAATCTTGGTCGGGTCACTGACTATCCTGACCCAGTTACTTTCTTGATTGTCCCCAGTCTCTTCAGACGAATACCGGAAGTTTCCTTAATAGGTCACGACCGCTACTGACCAATCGTGACCTCATCTCGTTCGAGTGTATAGGACCTCTGCACTTAGAACAGCGTCACAGACCTTGAGAGCTGGTATCACGTTAAACTCGGATTGAACGCAGCCATTCCTCGACAGTAACATTTCTCTGGTCCCGGTAATAACTGTATTGTAGCATGCAGATCCGTTGCTAAGTAATGACTATATATAGAACGCCCGCTGCTAGGCAATGACCATGGAATAAGCAAATATACTGTAGCAGTTACTGAGCAACGGCTTCGCAAACACGTATGTTCCCACGGCAATCAATGAACTAAAATAATGAGCGGTGTCTTCTACGCGGTCCGTGCTGATGTGTTGTAGGCTTGACAGGTTTAGAATTTAGTTCGTTGAGTTGGAGTCAGTTAGAAGGACAGGAGTGCGGTGTGAGATAGCCACCAGCCTGGGAGTTAGTGAGTGCAGTGCTTGGAAGTGAAGAGTTGGTTGGTGAGTTAGTGAGTTAGCTAGAGGACTGAAGTTCAGTCCTTGTGAGCTGTTGCTGTTAGAAACTGGTAACTGAGGCACGGGATAGTTCAAGAATCCAGAGTGAAGGGAATGTCTACCGTTTGAAGCCTTTACCAGGCAACGACTAATGAAGATACAGCAGAGTGAGGCTTAGTACGTACTGTAGTGAACTGCACAGTGTGTGAATTAGCGACAGCGCTATAGTTACTTGTAGTGACGATCTGTAAGCTGTCAATAAATCCAATTACCAATACAACCCCCATGTGAGTCTCACTCTATCACGTAATCACAGGAACTTCCGACATAGGAGAGGGCGGGGCACACGGATCTACTGAGTTCCGTTCGTGCAAAGCCGTCTCCTATCACGCGCCCTCGAATCTGTCTCAGAAGAATTTGTAACAAATTGGAAGGGACAAAGGTATTACTGTCTTCTAGGATGTGACGCCGTGCAATCTGTTAGAATGCTACCTGCTGACTCCGTTTTCAGAGTACAGGATGCTCTTTACTCTTCCAACCTGAAGATGAAGGTAGCAGGCTTCTCTGAAACGTTGGTAACTTTCTGCCAGACCGCAAGACAGTGACGTGCCAGAACACGAGAACTTAAAATCTCACGGGAAAGAACACGCTTACCCATGAGCAAAATGAAGTCCAAGTGGGGCTTTGGGGTTGGGGGGGGGGCAGAAGGTAAAGTTATTTTCAGTGTGAAACAGGGTTTTGTTACTTTTTAGAGTCAGTTATACGTCATATGTATCTGCATTTTATATACTACATGGTTTACAATATTCTGACACGTATTCTTCCTCATCAGGTTATGCTCGCGAATTGTTACTGTTCTTTTTAGATTAGGCTACTTTAAATGCTATGTTTTGTGTCTGATTTTTAGTTTTGACTGCAAACACAACACATAAATGCGCAACATCCAGTGTTCTGACTCGAGAATCGGTTACTACAAACCTACACCCGTCTCAATGTTCAAAAGTTTAGAAACTGTGTCTCCCATTTATTTCTGGGTCTTTCCATGTCTCTCTTTGTCTTTTATGGTAACATAAGTATGCTAATTTAGACGCTCTGTTTTCTTGTATTCTACTGACATGTTATTCACATTTTTTTTTATTTCTTTCTTATTTCTACCTCATTCTCAGTTTGCCTTAGATCCCTTACTTATCATTGGTGTTCCGTCCCGTGAAGTAGCCCCGCTCAAAAGTAAAGTTTCACGTCAAAATCAAACTTGTCCAGCTGTTATGTTACCTAGTCGTTATAGAATGTGACGTCTAATTTCATATTCAAATATATCTGATATTCAATTTAGCTGGATACACTGGGCTACATCAGAGCCGCGGGGCCCCCCCCCCCATTTTCTCTTTGTGTGCCCTGACACGGATCTGGAAACTTCTTCTCATACAGCGGTGTAAGGTAAAGGTAAAGTTGTCACTGTGCTTAACTAGTTAAGCACTATGCCATAAAGGCGTATGGGGGAGTGGATGTATAGATCCACATTTTCTTGACCTCGCCACTAGCTGGAGGTGAGTTGTCAGCTTCACGCCCCGGTCACTTTACCCCCGGAGAAAGCGCCCCAGTAACGATTAGATAGGATGTTGAGTGGACCCCAGAGCCGGTCTGGACGACGTGGAGAAGAGAAAATTCTTGACTTTATCGGGACTCGAACTCCGACCCTTCGGCCGTCCATCTCGTAGCCAGTCGCTGTGCAGATTGCGTTATCCCGGCTCCCCAATATAGCGGTGTAAATTCATAAAAATCCAGTTTGTTTAGTTCAGTTCCAGAATTCTGTGCTTAAGGAACATGCGTTAGCCCCTTTGTGTATGTAAGATCCATGAGCGATTTGTCGTTCAATTCTGCTTTTAGAAGTGTAAAGCCGTCCTTAAGTAGAAACATGAACAATTCATGTCATGAACCGTGCCCAGTCTTTCAGACTAGAACTGCGTCCCAGACAACTCCGGCACTTTCATTTTCAGGATTACTGAATCGTTCATCAATGTCTTCTTCTAGTTCACAAGAAGAAGGAAAAGAAGCCATGGGTCCAAGCATTAAGCATAACGCCGACTGGGACAAGTCCCGTGAGATTCCTGGGAAAGCACAAGAACATGCCGCCCGAGGCAAGTATGGCTACAGCAACTTTCTCGCCGACCCCTGCAGGAGGCGGGGTCCCACTTATGCAATGTGCCGAACGAGCAGGAAGCGGTAGGCTACTGCAACGCGCGCGAGAGGCAGAGTGGGGTGCTAGGAGACTAGTTAACTCTCAATTAGAAAAACTGAGGCACTGAGGCAGTCGCTCCCAGCTGACCGAGTGAAGATGTTTGGGGGTCTTGGGTTCGTCACTGTGACACTGATACTTGCTTGCTGCAAAGACATTTCGGGTCAGAGTCTTGGCTTTGGGAAATGTCCATCTTATCCAGCCATGAAGAAGTTGGACTTGAGAAAGGTTGGTAACAGGAAAACGGTTTATTATTTTTGTATGTCAAATCAGTCCATGTACTGGTCTCCAATCCTGCGTCTCTATGCTTCCGCCTTGTTGCTCAGTGACCAGTAACTGCTTTCGTATAACGCAAAAGGGCCGCTTCGTTCAATTGCCTGCATCTCTTGATATTTTGCGATCTAATTGGCTTGGAAGGATGCTTAGACTGACATTACATTCCTGGACGTGTGGGGGACAATGATAATGGTATAAACTGTTTCCGTTCAGGTGATACCAAAGGTGTTCATAATAAGACTGAATTTTTGTCCAATTCATTATGTGTAGTCTGCCAATAGAACATTTTTGGCAGCTCTGTGAACGTCCCAGCGCAGTGAGCACTCCTGCATATGGTGAGTCTGCGTGCTTGCCTGTATTGCCTGACATTCAGATGGTGTACTTCTCTGAAGTTCTTGGTAATCGAGGTTTCTAGTGCCATAAGCATCTTCTCGTCTTGAACTGTGAGCGTTTCGCTTATCATCGTAGTAGTTACTGATAGTTCGTCAGGATACTGCTGAAACTCTGCGTTTGGAATGGGCAACTTCTTGTCTGACGTGAGGTTCAGCCCGACGGGAACGGCTTCCACGTTTCAGAATTACAATTTCAGGCCGCATGTCGTGGTCTGCAGTGCATCTGACTCTACAAGTGTCTCGCCTTTCATATATGCAATAATGTTTTATAGCACTACTGCTCTATGAATGAAAGTTAAATGTACCTGCGTGATTCGAGGTTTACACGGTTGTGAGTGAAAAGTTTACTGTCTAATATGATGTCACCAGTGGCGGCTCGTAGTTTTCTTATGTGGTGGGGCTAGTCACTATATTTAATTTGTGGGCGGGCGGGTGAGGGTGGGGTCCCGCGCTTCCATAATCTTCATCCCCGTTACCTCCTGCTCTACCATATAAAATAAAATAAAATGAATTCTTCATAGGAGCGGTTTGCACAGCCCAATAAGAGATATAATAAGAAATTAAGATGCTACATTTTTGACTTCACTTCCTGGCTTTCCATGTGGTTTTAGTCGACAGATGGCGCTACAGTTATTTTATATTTTCTTGTTAACTCCCACTGAATTATCTTGGTCTCAAGTGAATAACAACGCTCGGATTCGGCGGTTGATAGTGGAGTTGTAAGTACAATACCTGTCAGTTTGTGTATTTCTGACAGAGCGGCGTCCAGATTGTTCTCTCTTATTAATGTACAAAGTGGATGAAATGTGCATGAGGAAATGTATCTCTTATCTGTAACTGGACCCCGCTGTTCCCGCCACAAAACGCGGGAGCGCCATCATAGGATTGAGCAATTAGTTTTCGTTCAAGGTTGTATTGTTCTAATTCTTGTTTAAGTACTGCTGCTAAACCTTCTGAAGTTCGATCCTGAATGTGAACAAAGGAAATGAATCTTTCAACAGGACCACTGTTATTGACATACCGTAGCAGAATAACTAATTGGGACATGCAGGACACGTCAGAGGTTTCATCTGCCTGAACAGCTACAAATTTTGCATTTTGAACTTCTTATTTGACCGTTTCCTTGTATACCGCATATATACACTCCAGTAATTCGTTCTGAATTGTTTTCGACGTGTTTTTGACACAGTTGCACTATTTAAATGTTCACTTAGAATACTATCTAAAGCCGCTAGTTCCGACATGAGATCCAAAAATATCCCGCGACTGTAAGAACTCTCGCGCTCTTCATGTCCCCGAAGAGGAAGTTCATGCGTTCCACAAAACTTTATACAATTAATTATCCTATTTAATATGTGTCTGTTTTTATCCACAAGTTCATTGTGACGCTGAATAGAAACCCTATAGCTATCATTTAATTGGGTGAAAATATTGACAGAACCAAAGAGATTAACTTTTACATTATTTTCAATATGCCTTTGCGACGCTTCGTGTTTTCTAACGCTTTCTGACAAATGTTTAAGGTCAGTTATACCTGTCACAGTCCAACTCGTTTCCCCACCAAACAATAAACACACAAAACAAAAAAATGATTTTTTTCTTCACTTAAGAGTCAGCCATTTCTTCTTGTGAAACCAAGATAACGGAAACGTTCTTTTCTGAGTCTTGCAGTTCTCATCAAGTTTGAAATCTGTTGGTTGATGCGCGCCAAGAGATTTACTTCTAATTTATCTTCTAAACTCAAAGTTGAGAACGGTGATTTCAGAAGGGCGTCCACCCTATTCATATTAATCACTAATTCTAATACGAATACAATATTAACCTAAAACCTAATTTGGAAATTACACTTGAAAAACAACTTTAATTTAGGCCTATGCTAAAATTACTTTATTCCCGAACTTGTATCTTCTCCACTGTTCAAAACACAACTGAAAGATGGAATCTGAATGGTGTCTGAAAACCTACCCTCTGTCTATTCTTACAAAGAAAACCTACCCTCTGTCTGTTCTTACAAAGAACGTTTTACTCAAGGCTGGAAGAATAGAGGGAAGTTCACAAACAAGCTATGATATGGCCAAGACATCACTATTGCATTTTCGTGTCTCCTTAATTACATCATGAAAACGAGAAATATTAATATTTTGATACAAATTTGGTCTCAGTAAACAGAATAAAATATGAATGAATATGAAAATTCAATACTACAACAAAATCAGGTGGGGCTTAGCCCATTTAGCCCCTAATGACGCACCGCCTCTGGATGTCACGTGGTGTAGTCTGACAGATTGTTAGCAACGTTTCGGGCTCTGAAGATGGAAGCAGTATTAACCTCCGAAACGTCATTACTCATCAGACTACACGGTGTCACATATTAGAAGGCAATACATTCCATATTCAGGAATGTGACTGCTATTGAGAAATATATAAACTGGATTCTTACCGCTGTTCAGACTGCTGGATAGTTTAAACAGTCGCCGTTTCTAAACCAACGAATGTACGTGTAGCTCTATTGCGTCAGAGGTAATATTACAGCAGTCAGCAACTGTTCATTCTTTCCTTATTAGTAGCCTATTGTTACGATATTATCACTCTACAGTCTCAAGAACAGAAACAAAGTTTGTGTGAAATCAGTACGGTGCACGTGATCACATGCCTTTGTATGAAAAGTGGCCTATATGACGAAAGGTACACTAGACGGTGAAACAACGGAAGACGAATGTTCATAAAACAGGTTAAATTTGCAGTTTCTAAGAAATCTAATATTTCATCGCAACATCTGAAGGGAGCGGTGCTACGAGTTGATGCAAGGGTGAAACAACGGGGAATGTGGACTGGATTCATGTGGCTCAGGATGGGGAGGGAGTGACGTGCTCTTCAAGGCAGTGAATTTCTTGACCATTTCAGCGACTATCAGCCACGCTTCATGCAGTCAGTATGATAATGAGCTCTGAACTTCATTTCGTACACCGCACCTTATAAAATCAATTATCCTCGATTAGAAATTCATGTAAAGAGAGACCTATCTGAACTAAAATTCATTCAACAAACTCTAATACAGAGTTCCATGATTATCACTCCAGCAGTTGAGCGGGTTATCATTTTCATGTGCATTTCAATACATATACGTATTTCTATGGCTACCTACATAAACTTTCATTTAACTCCGATAAAGGGTCTGGGGGGCCATGTTAAGAGAGCCCCTTGTCACCATGGCATGGCGCGTCCTCAGGCTGAGGATAGAGACGGCGTCCAGATATGGAGGGTAGCTGCGGATATATTGAATAAATAGTAGCGGACGGCCGACAAGGGGTGGTCCTGCAGCTTGGGGATTGGGCGTGGGGCAAAACCTCGTCCTAAAAATGAAATTGTTATGAAGTGTCGCAGAAGACCTCGGATTTCCACGGAGTCGTTGCATAAACGACCTAAGCTAAGGAACACAGACGGAGGATGTTTGAGAACAGGGTGCTGAGGAGAATATTTGGACCGAAGAGGGATGGAGTCACAGGAGGCTGGAGGAAACTGCATACTGAGGAACTTCATAACTTGTATTCTTCAACAAGTATAATCGGAATGATCAAGTCAAGGAGGATGAGGTGGGCAGGGAATGTAGCACGAATGGGGAGAAGATTAATGCATATAGGATTTTGGTTGGAAAGCCAGAGGGAAAGATATCACTAGGGAGAACGAGATGTAGGTTGGAAGGTAATATTAAGATGGATCTTAGAGAAGTAGATGGGATGGTGTGGAGTTGCTTGATCTGGCTGAAGACAGGGACCAGTGAAGGGCTCTTGTGAACACGGTAATGAACCGTTTGGTTCCATAATATGTTCGGAAATTCTTCAGTAGCTGCACAACTTGCAACTAGTTACAGGGCTCAGAACTGAGAGAAGCGAGAGGCATAAAGACATGTTGTGTGCATAACCTGTACTTTAGAACGGCCACAGAAACAGGGTGCAAACTCAGTACCACATACGTACGTTTCGCATGCATTCTTGGTTCTGCGAACTTGATAACAAGGACACCCTGACGATATTGGCGCGGAAGTCCTAATAGCGTCACACCGTCGGTACTAATTCGAGGTCTTAATTATAAAATTGTGCGGAGGCAATGAAACTAAATATAAATGAGTGACGACATTAAACTGTCGTGGCTTTATCAAGTGACGTGAGTACCTCTGTACCATAAAAAAGATACAAACTTTGGAAGGAATGGCCCCAGGAGCCTTCAGAACTGTCTTTCAGTGGCACTCAACACATTAGTCAAAATTAGAGTCACATTGCGACTGACGGTCAGTCAGTCAGTCAATCTTGGTGTATGGGGGCATTAGCTGGAGGTGATTGGTCAGCTTCACGCCCCTGCCACTTTACTCCCGGGGAAAGAGCCCCCGGTACCCATTGGATAGAAGGTTGGGTGGACCCCAGAGCCAGTCTAGATGATTTGGAGAAGAGAAAATTCTTGACCATACCAGGACTCGAACTCCGACCCCCCAGTCGTCCAGCTCGTAACCAGTCGCTGTACCGACAACGCTACCCCGGCTCCCTTCATAGTGGCATAGTGCTTAACTAATTAAGCACAGAGACAACTTCACTTGTTTACTTAAGATTTGAGTAACGACTCTTAAGCAGTGACTAGAAACTTTCGAGAGTAGTCTTCAAAATTCCAAAATTCTAGAAGTGAAACCCACTTTATTTCAAGAATTTCGGAGAATCGATTGTCAGCTCTTCTTTCACATAGTCGATTATTTCACTGTGGAGATAGCAATAAGAAGAGAATACAAATGACAGAAGTGTGTTGATATTCCTCGTTTATTTAACGCGACGGCTTTGAACGGCATGCACTGCCTCATCCCCTCAAGCCTGTATTGCAGGCATGTCCAACGCGTCGATCTCGTAGGCCTATAAGGAAATTATACGTGAAAAGAATGTAAATTCACTTGTAATATAATATTATTATATTCAGATTTTGTCGGGAAAGTACGTATTAAAGTAGTCTGTACTTTCAACGTATGTTGCTTTTACAACAAACATCATGTGTCGTGTTATTTTTACCAATATTCTTCCTTAAAGCGAGGTACGACGATACGAGGGGGTGGTAGATGACTGGCAGTTTTGACACTAAAAAGTCGATCACAATCTATTTGAAGTTGAACATGCCTGCTGTACTGCATCGAGTTTCTCCTGATTTCGCCTGGGCTCACACACGGTTAGTGTAAGCCTCACTGAAATATGGACTATCTTTTCGCGTGCTGATAAGGCCATGTCTGACCCATGTTTCACCTCTGCACTATGGCCTATATCTGTCCTTAGTATGCTTTACCACTTATTTATTTATTTTTTGCCCAAGACATGTTGCAAAGAATAACAAATGTTAGGAACTTGCATCAGAACTACCGCAATTCATAACATGAATATTTTCTTCCAGTAATGCTTGTTTTGAATGTACTGGATGCTGAAGAGTACTACAGTTCATCAGCCCAAAAATTTTTATGGGTGGTGGGGATAACAGTTGCTAGGAGGGGCGTGAACGTGCCACCAATTTATCTAGCCCACTCCTGGCGTCCCCCTACCTAACCCTACAGAACAAATAATTCTGCAATTTCTTTGGAAGAGTGGGGGAAAAGTATGGGAAGTGCAGGAAGGGATGACAGACAGAGTAGGGAGCGATCCGTAATAATCCTTTTCTCGGCTCCACTATAGTCACTTTGACATTCCCATATTGCTTCCAACATTTAACTAATCCTCTGGTAACAAAGCCTGCCAGTCGACACAATCCTCAGTCATCACTATCCACCTCCAAATCCCTCAACATGTTTTCTTAAGATTGATTTTAATATTCACCTCCTTTTTAATCTTCTAAGCATTTTCAAGAATTAAAATCTGTAAGCATTTCTTGCCTCTTCGCTACATGTCCAGACCATCAAGCCTCCTAGATTTTGGTGCTCTAGCAGTCCTGGGCAATGACAATAAGATTATATAGCACTAAAAGTAGGATGATTAGTGAATAATTAATTAATTAAAAAGGAAGAAAATGGCAATGGCCGGATATGAGGCATTAACCTAATATGGACTGAGGAAAACCAAATAAAAACCTGTTAGGAGAGTACAGCAAGGAGCAGACAGCAAGCAGGGCTGCTTTGATTGCTACTTGCTTCACTCTATTCTCACCCTGATAATACACACAGTAAAATCCCCCCATAACATTTGTGAACTTGTACAGGATTACAGAAGATAGTAACCTTCATAAGCACTGCTGTGAGAACCACACATCTAATATTAAATTTTATATTTGCAATTGACCACCCAAAATTCTGTACTTGGTACTGATCTTCATGAACTGTTCCATGTTTTTAGTTTGAAGGAAAATGGTATGAAGTAGAAAGATCATTCTATATGATGGAGATGTTTGCCAGCTGCACATCATTAAATTTCACAGCAACACCATCTGGGACTCTCAAGGTTATAGTCAAGCACATTAACCGTTTGTAAGTATATTTTGTTCCTACTTAAGAATAAAATCATGTGGGTACAATGTGGTACAATTTGGATCATTGTTCTTACATTTCTGGTCCTAAGTCTATAAATGCAACTATTTTGTTTAACCAAAACTTTATATTTAAAATAAGAGCACTACAAACAGGAATGTAGTATCAAACAAAAAAAAAACAACTAAAAATGGATTCAACAGAAGTATTTAAACCTGTAAAAATGCTTGATCTAAATTGTAGAGTAAGTGGTACAATCCTGACCACTGTGTGGTACAACTTCGATCAGATACATTTTCCACAAAGAAAGATTTTTTCTTTAAACCACCAACACAAGTTTTAATGATAATAAGTTTCACATACTTGGCAACAGATTCTTGTGACTGTTATTAAGAGAAATAATCACTGTTTGTTGTGAGAATCATATGAAATATATAAATGCACAGTGTGGGCAAAATGCAGAGTTCCTCACTGTTGAATCATGTGGTGCATACAACTATCAATGTGCCGTAAGGGGTTAGGCTGGTAGTTTTTGTTATCAAGACTTAATTCATCTAAGTTTATTGAAAGTTCTTCTGTTTGACTACGCCTCACAAATGGACCCTTAATATCATAAAATATTAACTTTATTTTCAGTAGGGAATTCCCTGTTCAGATTTGTAGATAATCGGGTTTACGCCTCTGAAACAATCAGCAATGCCTGCCACTGTCACCCTCATAAAGCAGTGCAACGTATGATCCTATTTTGACCCACTTCAATATCCAAAGAGTTGTCCTTGTACTTCTTTAATTATGTAGTATGCTATGAAGATATATGGGAGAGGGGAGGTATGGATCCTTGCATTCTTAACTTTGGCATCTACATCAATCCCATTCACTAAGATCCATAACAGTATTATTCTATATAAGCCTTCTTTCAGCACGAAGAGATTTTCAAGTTAGAATTCAATTCTTGCTTCTCCTATATTTAGCCATTTTCTATTTTTTATAACCTACAACATAATTATAAATGACTAATGTTGGTAGGTAGGTAGTGACATTTTGGCACAAAGTATTGCCTCCATCCTTCGGTCACTTTAACACTCAAGATGGAAGCTGTATGTTCCTCCGAAATATTGGTACCCAACTACAGGACTGTAACATGGTGCCATAATACTGAAGACCACATTATGAATCTGTACTGCATTGAAACCTCAAACCTTTCATGAATGTCTCTTGCAGAAGTGGCAATCCAAGTGTGAGCCTTGGTACAGCTCTTCCGGTGACGAGTGGTGGAGCAGAATTGAACTACCGTGGAGACACAAGGCTGCCATCAGCTGTAGCTCGTATGATGCCAGGATCGGGTGTTTACCGCGTTCTTGACACTGATTATGACAACTATGCCATTCTGTGGTCCTGCTCCAATCTCGGAATAATGCATGCAGGTATAGCCTTCCTTACTTCTTCTCTTATAAAATACCATAAGTACTCGGTTCTTCTCCTGGGATATGGTTACTCTCCTTGTAAATTTCACATCGTACGATACCTAAAACTTTGAACAAGGAATAATGCTCGGATTAAATTACAGTTTTTCGTACAGAAAAGGGGGGGTGAGAATGACGACACATCAAAAAATTCTACTGCAGTACTTCTACATCATTTTAATAGCTGTGGTTACCATACATATGGCCGGGGGATTGGGTAAATTTCACATGCCTCCGAGTGTTCTACGTCCGTGGTAGGAAAGGGCAGAAACCGACAGAAAAGTTGAATTTTAAAATATGTACATCGGCGTAATACCCGTTAAAAATTTAACCGCACACAAATTAAACCAGGACTGTTCAACTCCGTTTTTAACCACGGGCCGCATCATAAAAAGTTTTTGCAAAGACATGGCACACCCTTTAAAATATATGACTCGCATTGACTACATAACCTTGGAAATAAAATATTTTTTTCTGGTAGGCTGCTGTTTGTTGCTGCATGTCGAACAACAGCAAAATCCACCTGACAGGCAAAACCCTTTTCAACAAAGTTGACGTTCCACATTTGGGCCACCCCATTTTCCTGATGATACCAACTATTCAGTTTTATCTCGGGATATGGTGTCCATAAAATACCTTAATTTAATTAAAATCGTGTGAGTAGTTTGCAAGAAAATCGCCATTTTGCATTTTGAAGGCCCCCTAATTTTTGGAGCTGGGATGTTAATATTCATCAGGCACCAGCCTATGCTGGATGAAATCTTAAATACGGAACATAAATAAAATTCGTCCCACCATCCAGGCACTAGCGAGGCACATATACATATATATACAAAGAGAGATGGAATTCTAACAGCCATTTCTGGTATTCAGGGGTGGTCAAAATGTGCAAGTACATCAAAACGTCTAGACTATTTCACCAACACAATACTGTTTCACACATACTATATATATGAGAAAGCGCATAGTTTCAGTGTACTGGTAAAAATATGTCCTGCAATGATCGGAACTATGAAGCACAAACATAAAAAAATATATATATATATACACACACACACACACACGTATATTTAAATTAAATGTGCTTCAAATTTGCTGCTAAAAGTTTGCTAAATNGGCCGACGTTTCGGAGGAATGTCGGACAAAACGAAGAATACACGGTGCCTAAACCCAGAAGATAATTTTCTACATTAACACATATTCTGAGGAATGATGGATAATCCCACAAGCTGTATAGAACCAAGTGGCAGACTGCAAACATCATGCGTGCTTAAATTTTGACAATTCTGAATGAAACAATAAAATGTCAATAAAATTAAATTACCACAGAGAAGTTATGACTGGTTTTTAGCTTGTGATGTGATGCATCTGGCAGCTACCCACTGTACGCAATGTTGAGTGCCTACTAGGGGCCGAAATCCTTGTGCTGAATTATGCAGCTTTGTTATTTGCCTTCCTAGATCTCATCTGGGTCCTTGGAAGAGATCGTGAATTGCCAGTACAGGCCAGAGCTAGTGTTTACAACAGACTGTCCGAGCTGAAACTGGACAGTGACCGACTGGTCCTCACACGACAAAAGAGCTGCCCTGTGTTTTGAGATGTATCTATTGGAATGCTGAACACACGTACCTGATGGCATGTATAGTTTATCTCCTGATTTTATGCAATTGCATGTGATAATTTGAATTTTAATTTTTATGTGGAAAATGAAATTATTTGTCTAAAATTTAATAACTGAAACTCATTAACAGCAAATATGTAACATTTTAAAATGAACTGAAGTGCATATTTTCAAATGAAAATTAAATGCAGTGATACAAAATATGAGACAAAATGTCTAGTTACATGACTTTGAGTTTATGTGACTACTGCTGGGCATGCGGCTGTTGCATAATGGAGGATACCTGTAATTGGATGTATTCCACAAACATATATAATGAAATGTGTGTTATGCCATTTACTTTAATATAAAGTCACACTGTTATTAATGCAGTAAAGTTGTTATAAAGTTGTACAGAACAAATGGGAAGTAATATTTTGCTAGAAGTGTATGTGTAAATTTTGACCTTTATTTATTATCATGAACAACACTCTAGATTGCATTGGTAAAATGTATAGCTATCCCTAGTAACCAGCCGTGGAGGCCCATAGGGCTGTGAGACGTCGAGGCTCCCACATTTTCTAGACAATTGACTCACAGATGGTGATGAGGTCAACCTAATGCGCTGGCTGCCCATTACCCTGAGGAAGGTTCCTGGTACTCATTTCTGTTAGAGGCTGAATCATCCCCAGGTTCCTAATGCAGCTGGAAGGATTGGGTCAATTGAACAACCCAATGACCTCATCAGGAATTGAACCTGCAGCCTTCCAGCTTTTAGCATAGCACCTTCACCAACTACGCTACTGTATCCCCAAAATACCTAGGTAGGAGGGGGATATTCTTGTGAAGGGACTGACTATACACTACTGGACTGGAATAAATGCAAGTATGCTTCAGGGGGAAGTGTAACAGCTTGGAGGATGCAGAAGGGGTCAATCAATGGGACTTATTTCTGTGGCTTGAGTAGAGAAACGCTAATGCTCATGCTTGGAATGGGATATGCACCAATGATCTTGGGCACCACATGATTACGTCTGACTGACTGTTAGATGCTTGATTTGCCTGCAATCAAAAGCTGACAAATACACCTATCAGAATTGATGTGTTATTTTTTGTCTGTCTATACGCAACAACTCAAGAACAGTTTAAATGATTTTCACGGAATTTGATAATGGGGAGTTTTATTAAAGTTTGGTAAAACATTCCACTTTTAGTTATGGGATGCTTTGTACATGAAGACTTACATGCATTTCTGCACTCATCTTGAGTGTAACTTGCAAACACTTTATTGGAGTGAAAAATGTTTTGGACAATTGCAGAGAAAAAGTCTGAGCCTCTTTGTGACGTTTTGTAACAAGCTTATTTTTTATGGTGAGTAGTTGTTAGCCCACTCCCAGCCACCAAAATGAAGGACCACCCTTTGTCGGCTATCTCCTCCATGCCGGAGTAAAGTGATCAGGGTGTGAAGCTGACCACTCGGTTCAAACTACTGCCAAGGTAAAGAATATGTGGACCTATACCACCACTTACCCATTCATCTTCATGATGTAGTGCTTAATTAGTTAACAGCACAGGGACAACTTTATCTCTTAGATTTTTCCTGCAAGTCTGTTTTGGGGATAGTTAAAAAAATGGGGTGAACATGCTTGAAGTGTTGCACTACTCATACACTTCCCATTTTACTATAATTTTAATTTACTTTTCATTTTCAGATATTTAAATATGTATACCTGTATCTATGTTATTTTTATGAGGCACTGAAGCCTTCACAGGTGATCAGCAATGTCAGTATGGAATAAAAGTCTGTTTCGAAGGCCGTTCCTGTCTCAATGTGAAGAATGATGCAAAGTGTCCAGTGTATACTTATACACATTTACATCTAAAAAGAGCCTAATTCTCACTGCCCAAGACCTAGGTAAAGAGAGAGCATTGGGTAGAGTCAAATGGTCCCCCATCCCACAACTGGCTGAGCAAGCAGTCAGCCACCTTTGCTGTGGACCCTGCTCAGGGTTGCTTGAGTTGGCAATACACTGTATTTTCAATGTAATTAAGATGAATTATTTCCAAATTTAAAATATTTCAATGTTTTCCATTTTGTATCATCCATTCATTAAAAGACATTTGTTTGAAAACAACACTTGGTTATTTATGTAAGTTTTGAGGTTTTCACGGCGATGACTATGAAGAAAGTCGTCTTCTGGGTTTAGGCGCCGTGTATTCTTCGTTTTGGCCGACGTTTCGGAGGAACGTATCGCCTCCATCTTCAGAGCAGGTCCGAAACGTCGGCCAAAACGAAGAATACACGGCGCCTAAACCCAGAAGACGACTTTCTTCTTAACACTTGGTTATGTTTTCACGTGTTGCCTTCCTCTTGCCACATCAGTGTTTTGCGTGTCATTTTGTGTAGCTCGTATGGACGTCGGTGTGTTATTTTGTTTTTATGTGCCTCTTTGTATGTATGTCTCTACACTGTTGGACTAGCTGCATCCTACTCATTCAGGCCTCCCCCCAGAATGATATTGGCCATCTCAAGGCCTATTCCTGTGCCTCACTGCTACTGGCCATCACTTGACAAATAAAAATGGAACAGTTCTTATCCACATGTTCTATAAGCATCAGCTAGCTCACTGGGTCATTTTACCTTGGACACTAAGATAATATTTCTGAAACATCAGCAATATACATATATTTTTTTCAATGATGCCACCACCCATCAACCTGGAAACATTTCATGCGGTGGTGCTACACCTACTTTAACAATAAGAAAATATGAATTTTTCTCACAGAAGAGTATATGTATATTTTGTATGATTCTTGTAAATAAACTTACTATATCCTCAAACAGCATTAAACACATGGTTTTTGTAATGGAGATGTACTGTGACTTCTGTATGGTGGAAAATGAATAAATATTATTTAGAGGAACTTCAGGCTTTCAAGGGATAAAGGATTCTTAATGAACAAGTATAGTAAGCTATTACATTTAAGGGCTCTGGTTCTCAATGACCTTCACCTTTACGTTGCTGAGCTGGTAATGTTATGGACATCTGTAATATAGCATCCTTGCTTTGTGCGTATCTTTATAGGTCTGACTTTATAAACTTATACAAGAGTGTCCCACAAGAAAATGTCAATATTCTGGGAGGTCATAGTATCAGTCATTTTAAGCAAAAGGTGTATATGTATGTGTCCTATTCCATACATTTTCCAAAATAGAGCTATTCCACTGTACAGTTCCAAAATTGTTGATAAGAAAGATATATTATGTACTGTTTCTAATACATTTTTGAAAATTCCATCATAAAACATCAATGCACTTTGTAACTCGTGTGAGGACATGCTATATTGCTTGTCTGAGTTCATCCTGATGTTCCCTTATGCAAGTGATAACATCCATTATGTGATGGAGCAGTTCGCCATGTGTATCCACTTCTCTTCATCTGATCCCATAAACAGAAATCTAACAAGGTCAGGTCTGGAAATCTTGATGACCATTTAATGGTACTGTCATGACTGATCCATCAATTAGGGAAAGTGTCATTCAGATATTGCATCACAAGTTGGGTGTAATGAGAAGGGGCTCCATCATGCTGAAAGTATGTAGCAATCCATGTAGCCAAAGGAACATCCTCTAGTTGTTCTGGTAACTCATTCTGCAGATAGTCTAGGTAATTATGTTATGTTATACAATCATCTAAAATAACAGGACCAATCAACATGTCATGTTAGAGGCTGAGTCAACTGCAGGGCAACAGTGTGGCTGGAAGGATTAAATAAATTGAAAAATCCAATGATCCCATTGGAATTTGAACCTGCGACATTCTGGCTTGTAGCATAGTGCCTCAACCTAATATGCTACCATGCGCCCCATTTGTATTTGTATACTCTGAAGAAATAACACATATTATATAATAATACATACAAGAAATAATATATATTCTTAATGGCCCCATGTGGTCCTAATGACACTCAGTGTCTGAAGCTGATCAGACCTGCCCTACATTATATACAAAACAGTTAGTAAAAATGGGTCAACAAGTATTCCAAAACTGTCTTCATAATATATGGTAAGAGTTAATATGTATTAATAGCATCTCTACTTTATTTTTGCATTTAAGAGAAACTGCAAAAATATTCTGCACTCAAAGTATTGCTGGACATTAATTACCTGGCAGTGACAAGGTTAACATTCAATCAGCATTTATTATTGCTACATATTTTCAATACCAGAGAAGAGACTGCCAGACAGTACAAGACTACATGCCCAGGTAGACATGCTCCCTGCACCAGGCAAGATGCTCTAGACATAATGCTATCATTTGGAGCAACCTGAGTGTTTGCTCAGCCATGTGTGTGCGCGCGCGTGCGGGCATGTGTGTCAGTGGTTCAATCAGAAAATTTACTTACAAACTGATGTTTATGCTCTTGAAGACTATTTTATCAACTGCCCTAGAGAATTCAGGACATAAGAATAAGCTTTTAAAATGTATTTTTTTGATTTGTTTCATTCTGGTCCGTCACAATAACAATTACAAATTATAAATCACTCCGTCCAATGTGACCTGTAAGTTTTTTACTACGTAAAAACTTAACACCCTTACACGTTTCGGTCTCTGTGGACCATCTTCAGAGGGCAAACATCACTACAAATAGGAAACCACTATCACATAATTTGTTTACACGCAAAGTATGTACACTTATATGTTACAACACATAGTACACAGAATAGAACGTTTCACAAACACAGCAGTTTCCTGGGAATGTAAGTTTTAAAAATGTATAAGATTCCTTGATGCTAATTAAANTACTTTGCGTGTAAACAAATTATGTGATAGTGGTTTCCTATTTGTAGTGATGTTTGCCCTCTGAAGATGGTCCACAGAGACCGAAACATGTAAGGGTGTTAAGTTTTTACGTAGTAAAAAACTTACAGGTCACATTGGACGGAGTGATTTATAATTTGTTTTAAAATGTAATTTTCATTTATGATACTCATACTTACATCTGTAATATTTTCATATATTTTTTTCAATTTTAATATTTATTTCCAAAAATGGGGGAAGGGGGCAGATTCCTCAGACCTCAGAAATGGACTGTATGTCCTTGTTCAGGTGGGCAGAAGCCACAAAAGTCAACGGAGAACATATCTGGAAGCACTGTGCAAGCAACATGTTCAGTGCTCATAACAGACTGAACTTAAGAACGTGTGATTTGATCTGGATGAAACATGTTTCATGTGGCGTGAACATGGTGAAACACTACAGCGCACATTCTGAATCACATTTCTCTATCCTACTAATTAAGAATTAAACCAAATTACTTTGTTCTTTGAGGTAAGAACTTTTATTTTACATTTTTGTAGTTGCAATGTGAGCAAGAACATTCAACCTATGGTCCCATGGAGTCAGTTTAGCAAGTTCAGCTTCCACGACCAAAATAACTTTAATTGTTTCAGCATAACATACATGATACAAACTCCATCATCAGTGCAAACTGTATATTATAGGTCTTTCGTTTTGCTCTCCTTTACACACTACATGTTTCGGCCACAAACAGCCATCATCAGGTGTATTACTCACGTATCTGTCACACTGCACTTAGTTTAACATTTAAAATTTAAAAACACAGGTCTTCCTGATTGTTCCTTTTGTCGTTATTACCAAAATCTACTTCGTTGATGTCTTTGTTATTTACATACGTCAATTTTGATTTCTCTGAATTAGCACTTATAAAATCTTCAGTTCTAATTTTAAAATCTTTTCAATTTTCCTCTAAATTTTAAAATTTAAAATTGTCAGGGTTACTCGCCCTATGTCTATAGTGCTGCAGCGGCTACTTCTTGTTTCTAGTACTGTATTGGTGTTATTCTGTGTAGTCTGTGTGCGTGCCGCTGCTTATCTTTAATACATCAGACAGCACACGTAGTAAAGATAAGCAGCGGCACGCACACAGAGAGACTACACAGAATAACACCGGTACAGTACTAGAAACAAGAAGTAGCCGCTGCAGCACTACAGACATAGGGCAAGTAACCCTGACAATTTTAAATTTTAAAATTTAGAGGAAAATTGAAAAGATTTTAAAATTAGAACTGAAGATTTTATAAGTGCTAATTCAGAGAAATCAAAATTGACGTGTGTAAATAACAAAGACATCAACGAAGTAGATTTTGGTAATAATGACAAAAGAAACAATCAGGAAGACCTGTGTTTTTAAATTTTAAATGTTAAACTAAGTGCAGTGTGACAGATACATGAGTAATACACCTGATGATGGCTGTTTGTGGCCGAAACATGTAGTGTGTAAAGGAGAGCAAACGAAAGACCTATAATATATGGTTTGCACTGAAGACGGAGTTTGTATCATGTATCGTATGGAGTGTAACAGGATGCTTAAATATAATATTGTCAGCATAACATGTCTGCAGCAAATCTAAGCAAGAACAAAGACATTTTACTGCACCTGGAAAGCAGAAAATACATCACACTAAGGTTCCAATGACAAGGAATATTAATTTTATGATCTTATGGGATGTGATGAAGTTTGTTTTCAACCATTTCCCACTGCTTCAGGCTGCTTTGCAATACAACACATAGACCTACAGTACTGTGCATCATTTTTAAACTTTCCCTTTGTACCTTACTGCATATATTTGCATGTATGCTGAGGCCATGGAAAGAACTCCCATGGATCAACTCCCATCAACTCTTCCTCGAGCTGTTACAATTCCTTTCCTTTCCAACATTCCCCTTCAGTCATCTAGCCATTCTGTTCACAGGAAAGTTGGCAGTCATAACCTACACTAGTGATAAGCACTTGGGCTTGTTAACATAAGGGTCATTGCATACCAAAACAAAGAGAACTGAATTAAGTTTCAGTCACACCATCATCAATTCTCGTGGTCAATATTTCACTAGTAGATATCCATAGGCAAAAGTTTCCCCATAGTTTCAATTGTTTATTGTTAATAAGATAGTTCATTTTCAGCATGCAGCAGGCTATTTTTCAAATATATGTAAATATTTCCTTTATTTAATTAGAGATAAAAAAAATGGTGTCCAGAATAGTATTTCTCAAGGAATCTATCTGTTCGAAGTTTATGTGTTGTCTGCAGAAGTCTGGGAGTTATGACCTATGTAAAAGACCTCTGTAAATAAAACAGAAAAGCACTGTGGGACTGCATTTACAGAGCTCAAAATTTACCCAGTATAAACAAACTGAAATTTGTAATCAATAGTGTTGTTTCTTATATTTTACTGTGCAGTTGCCTTTATAAAAATGACAGAAGTTTGTAGGCCTGTAAGATTTGAGGTTTTCATAACGGTGGTTATGAAGAGTTCTATCTTCTGGAAAGTCCATGGAAAGTAAAACTACTCAGGGTTGAGGAGTAAGACAAGCAAAGAACCAGCAGGAATGACAGTGTACTGTCAGTGGACTAAATGGCATTACATGCCAGAAAATAGAACTCATTCATAGACCTATTCCTAATGATATCTGTACACTTGGACTGACATTAAACAGAGTGTGTCACAAGAACAGTTGGTCTTTACAGTTATGCTGACTTACAAAATGAAAACATACTGCTGTTGTTGATAACTTGTGAACCAAAAACAGATTCAGAAGAAATGAAATGAAAATTATCATCAAAATATCATCTCCAACAAACGTGTTCAATCCACTCAAAAACCATAAGCCATTAAAAATGGAGTATGATAAATACCTTCTGATGCTCTAAACTGTTCAATAAAAGTGTAAACACCAGATCAGAGATTATGTATGTCATGCAGCATTCAACCAAACAAAATTCCTGAAGAAAGTATCTACAAAGAATTGCCTGTCAGAAATGCTTTAGGTGAAGATTTTGGAGAAACGCAACTTGTAGATCTTAACTGTTCTGTCATCAAGTTAGTGTGGTAGGGTGCTCTCCAGTACTTCATGCTGTTTACTTCATGGATATCTACTTGTAAAATAAAATCATAACTATGTATCACTTTAAGTATAATATTGTGGAATACTTGCTCAGAGCAAGAACTGTGCATTACTATGCAGCAGCCCATAAACAACAAGAGAGGAATGGTGTTTTCTACATGGTTCATACTGAGATGTTACAAGCAGGATCAATCAGATGTCGCAATCAATCAGTCAGTCAGTCAGATAACTGTTCGGGATTGGTTGATGTGAGAAGCTGGTACCTGAGGCTGGGGACAGTTCAGGAACCCAGAGGAAGAGGAATGTTCACCACTGAAGCCGCTGCCAAGCAATGGCTAGTGAAGACTGTAAGAGACTGAGAAACCTAATGTGTCCTGTAGAGATTTGCGAAGTTTGCAGAACACTGAGAGCTTAATCCTTACTTGTAGTTATGAGCTGTAGGAGTTCGGGAAATCCAGTTACTAACACTGTGACAATATTATAAAAAGAGGTGATGATATGGCTGACAACAGTGATTTGACCTGGAACGCCTTTTAGGCCAGTGGGAACTGGAGGTAATATCACAGCAGGCAGCTAGTAAGATGTATTGAGCACCATCAGCCACGCCATCTATGAGACTTCTTTCTGTGGCCCCAGTAGAGTTGATGGTTAACAGCTAATTAGATGTCATCACCATACATACAATACATACTGACCAGATGATAAGATCAGAGGTACTGAACTTAACACTTAACCACTCGGTCACATATTACCCAGTTCTGAGAGAAACTCTGTAGAAGGTGATGGTGTTGTAGCTTGTGAAATGTGAACTGTTTCAGCACCTTCTTTGTGTACAAGACACTGGAAGAAAGAATACACAATTTTTGCATGAGGTAGTGAGGTCTTGGATACCAAAACCAAAGAGTCCAAACGAGCCCAATTCTAATACAATCACCAGAGAAGCAACAAATGGCAAGGTGGCCTAAACAGAGTCTCCAAGCAGAGTTATCAGGACTTCAGTAAACACAAACTGCAGACAACTATGCTGCCAGACAGTACAAAGTTTGTGCATCTCACACATGCAGTGGAACAAGACACATCTGTAAATTTTGTGCTGTTCTGCTTCACAGAGGTTCCTATTTTAGGAGGTAACACTCTGTTGCACAGCTAGGCCCAATGCAAGCAGTTAATTCAGGAGCAAGTTAAGTGGTGTCATCTAGTCTTCAAAACATATGTAAGAAAGTATTCGAGGGCAGAACAGTGAATGCTTGTAAAATATCCAGGAACTGGGGGGTATTTAGTCAAAGGGACAGATCAGTCCTCAGTGTGTTAAAAGGCTTGGAGAGAGGTGAACATGCATATGTCGGAACTGGGGGTATGTACCACTCCACAAGTCACAGTGCAATGGCAGGACTACTGCCGGTGTCTAATGCCCATTATTTCTCCATATTTATTTCAGGAGTTGGGTGAGGTTGAAACCCTTCAGATGAGCCTACTGAACCAGACCCTGAAGACAGATGACTATGCAGGACTGATGGAATGAAGACCTGGGGGTGGTGGGAGGGACCAAAGTGTTCTGAGAAAAACAAATCCCAGTGCCACCAGGTCAATACAAATTCCATATGGATTGCCCTGGGATTAAACCCAGGCCTCATCAGTGAGAAGTCAGCAACCAACCACCTGAGCTACAACATGGCCCATGTCTGTGTCTAATTAAATAAGGAATTACTTGCATTCTGCATTTATAATCTGTTGTGTACATGATTATGACAAATGTCATAGACNTTCAACCCTGAAGATGGGGGCGATACGTTCCTCCGAAACGTCGGTTAACACCACATATACACGGCGCCAAATCCCAGAAGACTGCTTTCTTCATAGTCACCGCCGTGAAAGCCTCAAATCTGTCATAGACAGTGTTCTCTTCACCAAGTATAATTAGAATTATGTCAAGGATGAGATGGACATAGCATGTAGCATGCATGGGGGAGAAGAGGAATGCATGTATGATTTTGGTTGGAAAGCCAGAACAAAAGAGACAAACTAGGAACACCTAGATGGAGGTAAGAGGATAATATTAAGCTGGATCTTAGAGAAATAGGATGAGGTGGTATGGACTGGATTGATCTTGCTCGGGATAGGGACCACTGGAGGGCTCTTGTGAAGATGGTAATGAAACTTCGGGCTCCAGAAAATGTTGTGAAATTCTTGACTAGCTGACTGACTGGTGGCTTCTCAGGGAGGACTCTGCTCCATGGAGTGAGTTGTGGATTGTGGACCCAGCGAACATCTCTGAAGAGACAACTGAGCGAATGTGGTTGAACAGGTCAACATGTGCCCCAGCTCCCTGACTAGCAGACAATGATATTTCTTCTTGCTAACAAGGTGGTTCAGTCTTAAGTACAATGCTATAACACATGTGCCTCAACATAGTGACTTGGCAATTACAAGTGGAAGTACACAGTATACATAGCAAACCCATGCCTGACAACTTGTCTGGCTTTAGTATAGAATAATATTACAAGACTCAACTGCCATGATCTTCTAAAAAAAAAAAAAATGTTTTATACACACAGAAAATTCTGATATCATAGTTCTGCAGTGTTGATGCAAGAATATGCTGAATCCATCAATCCCACAGTCTTCATACCTGACACATGTAAGGAAGTACTGTTAAGTGATTACCACAAAGATGTTACTGTTATTACTACCTATTTAATTCCAAAAGGGGAGAATTTATCGTCCGCTCGTTATTAATGTTGCAAATCAACTGCTGTGTAACAGAGTCCACATTCACACCCACTGCTGCAATTCTGTCAATATTTGCTTTGTTATCTTGACTTTGTGTTATTCTTGCATTAAAATCTGGCACCAATGCCTCCAGACAGAAGTGTGCAACAGGCTCTTCCACACAATTCCCTTTCAGACACTTCTCATCATGAGGACCACTTTGCCAGCTCTGGTTCTGCTCCACCTCGCTCGTTACCACCACAAACAGTTCCTTCTCCTTGCACTCAAGCTGCTCAAACAGGTAGGTGGTCACATCATTTCCCTGCAATCAACACCACTTTGTCACTGCATCCTATAAGCGACAGAGATGTTACAGGACTGTCACAGGTTTAACTCCTGTGAGTGGCAGCAGATTTTTCTACTTGTAATGATGATCTTTACTTAAGGAATCTATCAACCTTCTTGGAAACAATGATTTTTACACTTTTAAAAATTTTCACTACAGAATTTAACAGCACATTATGTTTAAAAACTTTTTCACTAGGATAATGCAGGAGGAATATTTCCAAAGATATATAAGTTTTTACAGAACTAATATCATTCCAGCCATCATCCAGTGGCATGGGGCATTTAAGTACCCTATTCCAGTGTGATAAAGAGTAAGGCACTATTCTGACATCTGCCTGGAGGGACTGGGAAAGCCATAAAAAAAACTCAGTCAATTGCCAGCTTCCATGCAGAGATTTGAAGATAGGTCCTCAAGAATATAAAGCACCTGACCTCAACAAAAGGTATCCACCATCTGACACTTCTGTTTTATTTAATGATGTCACTACAGTCTTGGAACACAGAGTGTGAAATAGCAGGATGACCTAATGAACAGTGAGATTATGTGAAAGAAAAAGGGCCATTTCCTAATTTCATGTAATATGCCAACATTTTCTTGGAGGGACTGAGGAAAACCACGAAAATTTCAGTCAGGATGGCTGGTGTCCTAACCAAAATTCAAACTGGTCATCCTTGAATACACATTAGAAACATGACTGCTTATGATAACCATCTTTGTATGTACTTTTTGAAATACAATACTAGAATATCTGTAAATGAACATAAATTTCAGTCTTGAATTAAAACATCAAAACATGAATACATTTAACTGCAAAAACACATACCCAACTGTATTATTATTATTATGAGCCAGAAAAACTATCAGGGTAAGATAGACAATCACTGTGTGAAGCACATGCACTGGGTGTGCATGTGGTAAAAGGCATAAAGGTAAATCTATCCCTGTAACAGGCCGTGAAGGCCCATAGGGTTGTGAGGCGTCGAAGCTCCCATATTTCCTCTAGACAACTGGCTCACAGATGGTTGTAAGTTTGTTAGTCTTATGTCCCAGACACCTTTTACCCCCCACCCAGGAAGATGCCTGGTACTCATTTAGAGGCTGAGTCAACCCCAGGGCTACAGTGCGGCTGGCAGGATAAAGTACATTAGTCTCTAAGATTATTTTCATCTGCATAATATTCAAATTAAAAATCCATACTTGAAAATGGTTAAAATCAATATATAAAGGAATCATGAATATCTATGGAAGTCCATCTAGTTGTTGATAGTGGTGCAAGGTTTCTCCCCTTTCTTTGTGCTGTTCCACTCTTTCTTCATTCAATTGTTGATTAAAGCAATGTACACATATTTTATTGACAGTTCAGCTTCACTCTTTCCCGCAAACAGGAATGTTTTCAGTTAGATTCAAAAGAATAAAATTATGTGAAGACAACAAACATTCAAGCAGAATATTTCCTACCATATCTTCGTTTTCCTTGGTTTCATTTTAAATTGGTCTTACTGTAATTGACAAGTTAAAGACTGTGTAAGGCTTTCAGCAGCTCCAAGAGTATATATCTGACAATAATTTATATATGTAAACAAACATATAAAGTAGAGATATCACAGTCATTAAAATAAGTCACCTGCCCAAACTGTTTTTCACTTACCCTGCCAATAAGCTGAGGAGATTCAAGTTTTGAATCCAGATTATAATATGTTCCATGGACTTGGCGGATTGTAACCCAGTGTCGTCTTCGCAGGGGCAAAAGTACAAAACCCAACTTGTAGTCACTTGGTACATTTAGTATGAATCCTAGAATGTTATCCAGGTTAAGACATTTTGGATCTCTAAAATGACAAGGCAAAAACATTGTGCAGTTTAAAAAATAATTATGATATGGAATTGATATAAAACACAAAGAGATATTAGAGTAGTGCTGCATTTTTAGTCTATTTTCTTTCTTACAGTAAGACACTAATGCAACTTATGACAACAAACCTTTGAAAAATATGCCACTCTTATGAAAGTAATTCTTTTGTGAAATGTTAAATGGTAACATGATGGATGTGTGAAAATTTTTTTCAGCTTTACGTTTCATGGAAATGTATAAAAAATTGTTGGAGCTATGCAAGCAAAATTTGTTATGGAGAAAGACCATGAACACAACTACAAACTATGAGATACACTTGTAAGGCAACAATTCCAAATACAGCAATAGTGCAAAACTTGATACATAATAAATCTGAAGTACACAATATCTGTATTTAAGTATCATACACAAACACATGCACATGCGAATACAGATACACTCACAAAATTGGTAACAATAAGAATAAATCAGTCTGAATCCTTCAAAACTGAATGATTTTTAGAGACTGTTGTCCGAATGGAGGTAAGTATTCCTTCAAAATGTTCTTTTATGGCCACTATATTTTGGACAGAAGACATCCAAAGTTGTTAAAGTTGTTTTGGCATAAGCTGTCTTAGAAAGTGGGGCATAACTTCTGGCACAACTGGGTCACAGAGCTCATTTTATGATAATTTCGAAGCTAATAAAATTCCCTTTCTGACACCATACTATACCAATTTATTCACCACAGTTGCATTTTCAAGATCTTCAAATTTAACCTTTTGCCTTCCATTTTTCAAAATGTGGAACTACGACATTTCTGAGAAAATATATAGCAAATAATTTTTCTTTAAGACAACCACAAATACGAAGTTGGATTTTGTGAAGTATACGCCATGAAGGTATTGACAGCAAAAGAGCTTGTTGTGGGGCATGGCATTATGTCTTCACCTAGCCACAAATCAGGCAAAACTTTAAATTAAATTATTGCTGGAAATTGTACAAGGGCTCCATAACAGCAATGAAGTGAGTACAATAATGCCTGGTAAGAAAGACTACATGTTAATTAAAGTCAGGTGTAGAATCTTTATTCAAAAACTACAGAAAGACAATATCTTTATTCATCTATGGAAGCCTAAGAAATTAATTGTACTTATTTTTGAACATAATAATGCAGGTTTGAAGAAACTGTCAAGTTTTGTCTGAACAGACCAGTGACTCATCTGCCTTTCTAAATGCCATGTGTCTTTTAAAGTATGTACATATGTATGAACAGCATTTTTCATTTTTCATATATCAATCTGGATTATCTAGCATCCACATTAACTGTAACTGGATTAGTGAGGGTCTACTGTATATAGTTAATTTATGTTAACCTAAATAAATAAAAGTAAAGAATTTTAAAGAAATGTTTCTTTAAGTTGCCGCCTCAATACAAATGAAGTGACTCCTCATAGTAAAATGTTTCACAAAACACAATCCCATTGCAATCTGAATTTTGTATTTGCCAGTATGTTAAATAACAGTTACATGATCACAATATATTTTTTTAAAATAATTACAGCACTGCATTCTGAATAATACAAAGTCAAAGGGAAAACCTGAAAACATTGAAAATGTAATATTTTTTGGCGTCTTCTTTCAAGATTCTAGTGGATATAAATCACTGCAAGTTTGCAAGCACATGTATTTCCAGTGGGGCTACGGTCTCACAAAGAAGCATTCAATTCTGAGGGGGCTGGCTGGAAATGTCTCTTTTCCATGTTAACACGACATGATATGATCCACATATGATGCTTCATTCAGAAACTGAAGGCAAACTAAATACAGTGGTTCAGGGATATGTGGCATGTCACACTGCATTTGGGCATATTCTCACAATGAAAGTGAATGAAAGTTTTAACACCTTGTCCCTTGCACCTTCATCTTTTCTGAGCACAGTTAAGTTACGGACAGATGCACCTGAATGAGATTCATCAGCTTTTCCAAAACCGATCTTTGCTTATTTCTACTCTTTCATGCTGTTTCTTTGCTAACATGTAATAATGACCTTTAAACCTGAACCTCAAACAGCTGATATGCTCAACAAACTTTCTGGCACAACAATGGGAGAATGTTAAACAGAAAGCGGCCTCCGCAGTCTAGGGGTAACGTTCCCACCTCATGACTCAAGGTACGCAGGTTCAAACCCGGCAGAGGTCATGGAATTTTTAAGGGCGGAAAAATTCAGGGAACAAGTCCTCCGGGAGGGACTTTAAGCCGTGTGTCCCGTGTCGTAGATTTACGGCACGTAAAAGATCCTCATGTCTCTAGGAGACCTCTGAGCAAAATTAGACAAAGTTTCCCACCCAAGTGGTTTCCAATTCCTCTGGTAGATGGGGAAGTATCCAGGACCACTGCCAGAGAGGGTCGACCTCGGCTGGCAGAACAGGGCTGATAGCGAGCACCAGTACTGGAAGGGCATGGCGACTGGTAGAATAATTAAAGGAGGGACGCACAATATATTAACAACTAGTTGCAGCGCATGGGGAAACCCACCCCCTCCAAAATAATAATAATAATAATAATGTTAAATAGAACACACACACACCCTTATGTATGCCATTCTATCATAATTAACCCTTGAACTTAGTCACCACATTTAGATTTGGTTACTAATGCAAAACAAATATTCTCATTCCACCTTCTCAATAAAGTCTGATAAGCTGTCAACCACCATAAATCAATAAAGCAACTGGAAGTCACTGTGTTCAAAACATAAGAATTATGTAAGTAGTGTGAATCTGCCTGGAAGAGGACGGTCAAGGAAGAAGCCATGGAAGTGAGGAAGGCACAGAACAAGGTTAACAGGAAAGGGAGAAAAAGAAATTAACTAAGTAGTGTGACTCTGGCCTGCTGTAAACGAAGGAGTTCAGTTCCAAAGATCAGGCAAATAAGAGTCATGAGTTATAAGCAGACAAATTCTTGAATTACTGAATGACTCACTTCCGTTTATCAAACCAGATGGCTTCGTATCCCTTTCGTTGAAGTGCAGACATAATCACGTTGATGTCATAATTTCCAAGCCCCAACAATGATTTATGTGGGTTAATCCACACATTTGGTGACAATGAATAGCAGATAGCATCTAATTCTGTTTTGCTGAATGCATCACGCTCTTGAAACAGGTTATTCAGTGCATGTAATGCGCACAATTCCTTCACCTGTGTGGAACAATCAGATAACTCAGCAGATGAGATTTCAGGTTCTCATGGTGGTGAAGATTCATATTGTGCTCTAGGATATGACACCAGAATGATAACCATATACCAAACCATTCAGGGCCATAAACCTAAACAACACACTATATCAACTGAGCAGATATCTTTTACGATAAATTATAGAAAAACATTAAGCTTAATATACTACTGTCCCTTGTCAACACTATCATACTGACCTGTCTCTCATGATATATGGTCCCATTCATAGCCACACCTATTCTTCTGTCACGACTCCAACAGTTTTCCAAACAAATAGTATTTTTCCAACATAGTGAAGACTGCATCTGTGAACAACTTCAGTTATTTTGGGGCAAAAGCGCAATCGTTGTGGAATTATATAATACAACATCTCCTTACCAACTTAATTTATTGCATTTCCTATTGACAATTACTTATGTGCTGTCTAAAAAAATTAATTTGCGAGACACAATGTTTTCTAACGTTAGGTTTTGAAGCATCCGGACTTTATCAATGTGGAATCGATAATATATTATATGGTTGTAATAGTGAATATTTTATATGTATCGTTCAATACGAATTGCAAATATTACGTTCCAAACTCAACATTTAATATAAAAATAGGCATATTACATTCCTGCAAGTCATAAACAGAAACCCAAGACAATTTTTTTTCATTATTCGTAAACACATCAATTTCAAATCTATCCACAAATAAACACATTGTGTGCAAATTATATGCCTATTACAAATCAAACTAGAAAAAATGAGAATTATTCATACACAGCAGACAAGACGATCCTCAAACACCAGTCAACAACAAAATTCACATACTATTTGGGGGTTAGTCACTTTTTCCGAAGTACAATTATACAAGTTATCCAACCATGCTGTTACTGACCCAGTTTCCACTGGTTCTTTGTTTAGGGAATATTGTGATGTATCCATTGGCTACCCGTGTTGACAACCGGAAGCTGTAGTAGTGGTGACAGGTAATGGTGGCACTTATTATTGAAGAGTAAATAGTTACAGTTCAGGTAAATATTTGTTGTGACAGCATCGAAAGTCTGTTTGAACTTAACGCCAGATAAATTTTTTATTTTCTCAGGAGCATTTATTGTTGACCAAAAGCACTGACAGAGTGAAACCAAACACGTTCACGAATTCAAACAGACCTTGTTGACATTCCATCTGTTCATTTGACATTGAAGCATAGTGTTTAAAACATTTTAATTAAGACAAATTTCGATCTTTAAGTATGTAAATGACTGAATACCATATCATGCAATGCTAAAGAATCAAAATTTGAAGCTGTCAAAAGTTCATAACTATTATGCAAGTATGCCCTAGAGTGAAATCTATTGGCAGCCTATTAAGTGTCATTGTTATTTTCAAAGCAAGGAACAGCAGGTAGTTAGTGCAGTTTGTAGCCTCTCTGAGAATGAACAATTCCAATTCCACAGACGTTAATATAAAATAGGCGATTTTAATGGTTTTCTTCTACCACTTGTGGTGTATCAGTTTGTTTAGATGTTGATGCACACAGGCAAGTTGCACAATACTCTCAGATCACACAATTTGAACGCTTTATGTACTGACTGTAGAGGCATAAATTTATTTGAAATATACAACTGGACAGACCAGATGTTTAATAATTCTTATATCCCCACCTAATATGCAGAATACTTCTGAAAACGTATTTTGCAATATTACATCATCCATTTATATCACAGGAGTGTACGAGTATGTGTAGTGGTCTGTTTTACACAAATGCCAGTTTCACTAAATGTCAAGGAGTATATTATACAGGTATGAAGTTACTAAAAGATTAAATCATGATATAAAGCATTCAAGCCTGCATTAAAATATTACCTCTCAAATCATTCTCTGTGAATGATATTTTGAAAAATGTAAAGCTTGTTGCATATCTGTATGTGAAATGACTTTTTTTTTTTTACTTCTTCTAAAAGTTCTTAAACTTCGCGTGGATCTATATGTGAAATAAGTTTCTGTACTTCTGTTATTGACATATTGTACATCCTCTTGTTTAGCCCAAAGGGTGTGTGGAATGCAAATAAACTCCACTGTACTATACACAGACCTTAATCTTCGTGATTTTAGTTTAGGAAATTTACAGTCTTCTGAAGCACCTATCATGAACTTCTAAATTCTGTTCTGTGTAAACTTTGTCTTGTAGGTTTGTTTTAAATCGAGTGAAAAAATTCATGATGTCTTGTGAAGTGCAGCATATTATGTACAGTTGCTGCAGCTCCATGGATTGATCTTGAGGAACTCTTTACACTTCAAGGTTTATAATCAGAATTGGATTTTCCACCTTTTGTAAGAAGTCTTCTGTGCTACTCTTTTACTCTGTGAAATGTGCTAGTAAAATCTAGGAAAGCAATTGTTTTTCAATTCTTGCCAAATTTTGGAACAATTTTTGCAGTAGTCAAGCAGCTTTCTTTGCTGAATAATGTATTAATTCATCATTGAACAGTTTTACAAATTCTCCTCGTTATGTTGAGCATTAAAGGTATGATTCGCAAGAAGTGACTCTTGCGGCTGGGCGATGCGGCAGTCTGCACATGCGCAGTAGGAAATTATTCAACCGCAGTGTCTCTGGATGTGCGGCCCTGGTCGACTGCCTACAAGACCAGTATAGTCGCATGGATCGCATCGCTTCGAGAAGATGCAACAGTGGCATTTTCAAGCACATAAGACATTGTTTTAATTGAATTAGTGGCACATTCATCCTTCATTAAGTGCCTATTAATTAGGGTGGTATTTAATCCCTCCTCTGATCTTGCTTTGAACAGGCCATACACAGATCTATTTCCACCATTCTCATTCAATACCAGGATGTAAAATTTCGTCTTCCTCATCTTCGAGCATCTGTAGACAAAGAACACCACTTTTATCCATGCGTTTCTCTCTCACTATCAGGAAGTAATTATACCAATTGCACAAAATCTACCTGATTACAGCCGCGTCTTAGGAATGGTGCAATCGTACAGCCGCTGCGGCTTGAGTTGTGCAGCTGAATCGCACGGCCCTAATCGCTTCTTGCGAATCATACCTTAAATCAGTTTGTTCTGAAATCACACACTCTCCATTCAGGTCCTTAATAACAATTCAAGACATACCTCACATGTTCGTAATGTGTGAAAGTTGCATACACAGATGTTTGTTATTTGTGTGGAGCCTTGTTGATGTCCAGTCATGGAGTAGACTGCTCATCTTGTTTAAGAAAATAATCTGGCATGATGCTATTGAATTGGTAGGTCTATCCACACTCACATAGTGTCTGAAAATCCTCTTTGCTTGACTGATAGTATAATACCTTCTAGAAGCTGTGCCCACCAACCTCCAAACATGTCACATCATTGTAACAAAGTCTCCAACTTGCTGATATCTTCAACTTCTGTTGTTTATGGAATAACATTCCAGATTTTGATCTCTAAAGCCTGCTGTACAATGTTAAAGGTTCTCCAGAGATAAAATCACGCACATTCAGTTGGCAGCATCTGTTATTATGGCATGTTTGTTCTTTCAGCCATCAGCTATTTTATTGTGTGTGTTTTGTCAAACTGCATTGAGTTAGCATACTGAACGAATTGTTTGATGTTGAGATTCCAAGTTTTGCGTATTTTCAGTAGACCAGGACACTCGCCCACGGCAGAAAACAGTGTTGGCTCTATGGACTACTTTCGGTGAAGAAATAATTTGTAGATAACACTGGTTGTCACATCCTGTAATGTGTATGTTTTTTGTCTATGAGAATACATGAAAGAGGAAGTTAATGTAAATAATCAAGGTAACTTAGAGGCCTTATGAATAGAAGTTTAGAATGATATTCTAGAAATCATGGAAGACAACTTTCATTGTATGTTGCAGAATTTGTTCCATCAGGACAAATAGTGCATGCATGTTTGAGGACACTATTCTCAGCAGCCATTGTGTTATATCACACCCACTTCAAGAGGCATTATTTTTGTCATAAGCGAAAAAGAAAGTAAAGGTATTCTGGTAACAGGCCTTGGAGGCCCATAGGGTTGTGAGATATTGAGGTTCCCACATTTTGTAGACAGTCAGCTCATAGATGGCGGTAAGATTGTCAGCCTTACGTGCTGGCTGCCCTTTACCCCCAAGAATATTCCTGGTACTCATTTCTGTTAGAGGCTGAATCGACCCCAGGGCCATAGTGTGGCTGGAAAGATTAGGTAAATTGAAAGAATCCACCTCATTGGGATTTGATCCCGTGACCTTCCGGCTTGTAGCATAGTGCCTCAACCAACTACGCTACCATTTAATGATGCCTTCAATATTAAGCCTATATAGTGTTGGTAAAAAAATAAGTAAAGGTATCCCTGTAACAGGCCATGTAGGCCCATAGGGTTGTGAGATGTTGAGGTTCCCACATTTTCTAGACAATCAGCTCATAGATGGTGGCAAGGTTGTCAGCCCTATGTGCCGGCCGCCCCTTACCCCCAAGAATATTCCTGGTACTCATTTCTGTTAGAGGCTGAGTTGACCCCAGGGCCATAGTGCAACTGGAAAGATTAGGTCAATTGAAAAAAATCCAATTACCTCATCGGGACTTGAGCCCACAACCTTCTGGCTTGTAGCATAGTGCCTCAACCAACTACGCTACTGCGTGCCCCATATAGTGTTGGTAGGCAGTATTATTGGAGAATAAGCTGTAATTTCAGTAGTAAAAAGCTCAGGAATTAAACACCAACATGGACTACATTTATAGAGTAAAAAAAAGTAAAGGTATCCCTGTAACAGGCTGTGGAGGCCCACAGGGATGTGAGATGTTGAGGTTCCCACATTTTCTAGACAATTGGCTCGTAGATGGCGGCAAAGTTGTCAGCCTTATGCGCCGGCCGCTCTTTACCACCAAGAATATTCCTGGTACTCATTTCTGTTAGAGGCTGATTCGACCCCAGGGCCATAGTGCAGTTGGAAGCATTAGGTAACTTGAAAAAATCCACCTCATCGGGATTTGGTCCCGTGACCTTCCGGCTTGTAGCATAGTTCCTCGACCAACTACGCTACCGCATGCCCCACATTTATAGAGTTCCTATTTTAACTAGCAAGTATTTTCTTTTATCATTTCAGATTAAATGTTAGACTATCAGAATTTACAAGTATCAAGTACAGATATATTGATTTAACCATCTCAAGTATTAACGAATTATCTGTTTTAACAGTTCCTGTACTTGTGAGGAATGTCTAGCATATGTAGAATAACAGTTATTCTGGATTTTAATATGGGATATCGAATACACGGCTGAGGATCTTCCGACTGGCAGTTACACAATTGTTTTTGAAATAATAAGAAAGCTAGATCATGGCAGCGGTTGTGGATCAGACTCCAACGAAAGCAGAGGCAACTTCTAATATGTTTTCTGCACCACAAGATCTGTCGGTACCACCAGCAGTGGACTACTCTTCCGTAAGAATGAAGGTAATAGAAGTGCTTCTTTAAATTATGTCGGTATTTCATTTATGAAATGTAAGTGGAGAAATTGGTTACTTTATTTTCAACCCTTTTCCTTTTTTAAAGTACTTGGTGAATGTAGTAAAATCTTCCAAAGAAGCCAGCCGTAGCATATTGAAGCAGACATCTGCTACCATCATCAGAGAATAATGTGAGAAAAAATTAATTCAGTGAAATTATAATGATGATGTATGATATTAGGATAATGGGATGTGCCATCAGAGCACTGCACGTGCTGATTATGGGCTGTACTAATTCAGGCAGTAGGCTGATCTGCTAATAGACCCTCTGTCATCAACTATCAAACATTTTCACGAAAAGTACTTATTTAGAAGAGCATCTTGAAACCTGTATTTTTTCAGTATTGGATGTTATGATTGGATTGTGGGTATGCAAAGCAGAGCCCACGGTATATTAACAAAACATTTGTAGGATTGGAAGGAAAGTGTCACAGTGAAAGTGTAATTCACATGGCATCCTTTATAGTTTCAAATGATTTGTGTGTTTTGGATTTCTTTTCCTCATCTCGTGTTTCCAACATTTAACTAATTTCATTGATCATAATTCTTTTGAGAACCTGATAGGTGCTTAGCTGGTCAAGTAATTCTCTGCCATTTACAGAAGCTGTAGGTACGTTGCAGCCTCCCACTAAACTGGTTCACACTATCACACTCTTCCTCTGTTGTTGCACTATCGGGATGGTACATGCACAGCCCAGCGGGCATATTGTGACACTGCTTGCAATACAGATCGGATTAGCCCCAAGTTAAAATCTGGTCACTGGCACCAGAGTGGTGGAGATTTAAATCCCTTGCTCCCAGATAAGAAAGAGTAAACATGCATTTTATTATCATGACAGCTGCATCCAGATCTCCCCCCCCTCCCGAGTTTTCTGATTGAAATTCTGTATGTATTTCTCACCTCCCTTTATCCTCATGTTTCATGTTACATGGAACTATGACATGGAAGTGTTTCTGTTTAACATTCATGCTTATTGACTTCCTTTTGCAGACAGCATTGGTAAGTCCAAATGAGAAACAGTTTGTTCTTCTACAAAAGCGACTCAAAGAGAGACTAGAAGATGGGAGAGGAGAGACCATCTTTGATGTTGGTGTTGGTGAAGGTAGATGAATCAGCATTCATAGCCAGTAATGCAGTATCCTCTATGTTTATTTCCTTATTATGACGAGAATGTTTTTAACTTGTAGATGGCAGTGAAAGTGGGTTGAAGCAAGATGAGTATGATGCATCAGTGGCCACTTTGCAGTCGTTGGCTGCTACGCTGGATGCAGACTGTGTGCCACTGAGGCACCGAAAAGTGGATGAAGGCGTCACAGGGCAGTATTTGGTGAGACGCAGGATAGATCAGCAAGACTTCTTAGAAATCAGGTTATAACAGTTTGTATTGCAAATCCTGTAATGTGTTTAAGGAAAGAGATAAGCTGAAAGTTTTCAGGAGTAGTTATTTAAGTCTGTGTTTATAAGTGGCCTGAGATACAGTTTCTTTCTGTGTTAATCTCACTATATATAGTAGCTAAAACTTTAAAGCAGTAATAACACTCAAAACCAAACTCCTTGTTTTTAGTCTGCAAGCGAACTATACCAACTGAACGACCGCTGCTTGTCAGTGAAGTTAGTGCCATTCTACCAGTTTACAGGGCATCATGTCTTGTAAGACTATAATACATTTTAAAGAGAAATTTCATGGAAAGTTCATGACACTGAAGGTGAGCCAGTACCTGCCATGTTATGGAAATTTTCTATCCATGGGCTGTAGATTTATATGTTGTGTAAGCAGTGCTGTCTTTTTCTAAAAATGTTATGGCATATAGACCCATTGCTAGGCAATGACCATGAAACAAACAAGGAGACAATGGCTGTTGCTAGGCAGTGGCCCACATGCAACATGGAACTACTGTTGGAAGTGGTGTTCCCTTTGTGGTCCACTCCAAGGCTCTATCACGCGACCAGCCAAGTCGGAGTGAATGAGTTGGTTGGTGAGCAGTCGGACGACTGCTGCAGTTCAGTTGTTGTAAGCTATTGCTGCTAGAAGCTAGTAGCTGAGGCAAGATGATAGTTTGGGAAACGAGAGTAAGGGGAGCATCCATCATTGAAAGTCATTAGTGAGCAACAACTGGTGAAGACACAGCAGTATGTGCTGTAATGAACTGCAGGGAGTGTGAATTAGTGATAGCGCCATAATTTCTTGTAATTATGATCAGTAAGTGGTCAGTAAATCCAATTACCAATCCAAAACCTGTGTATAGTCACCAATACATATGACAGTATGTTTGTCAGCACTCTCATTCTCAGTTTTTATGTGAAGGTCAAGACATACATTGCAATGATAAGTGTGCAAATTTTGACAAGTTTTCTGATACGTATAAATTGCTTGGTGATGTACTTGTATGTAGTGGGTGAGAAAGAGCACTGCATATAAAACAGTATTTATACTGCAGTAGAGAGGAAAGGGAGAGAAATACAGATGTAACATTGAAAATTATTGTTTGTAGGGTAGCTGTTGTGGGCAATGTTGATGCAGGGAAATCTACTCTGTTAGGAGTACTGACACATGGAGAGTTGGACAATGGAAGAGGACATGCTCGGCAAAGGCTGTTTCGTCACAAACATGAAATGGAATCTGGACGTACCAGTTCTGTTGGGAATGATATTTTGGGATTTGATAGTCTTGGTAGGTATGATTTCAGCTATACAAGTTAATCCTTTACCTATTCATTAATGAGATTTTGGTTTGATGTTCAATCATTTTTGTGTAGGGAATGTGGTGAACAAGCCAGAACATGGGTCCCTGGACTGGGTGAAAATCTGTGAGAAATCATCCAAGGTGATAACATTCATTGACTTGGCAGGTCATGAGCGTTACCTGAAGACCACAGTATTTGGAATGACCGGTCATGCGCCTGATTTTGGAATGCTTATGGTAAGATGATTATAAGAGTTTCTTGATCGTCTAGAGCAGAAAATGTCTATTTCTTATGCTATACTGATGGATTATCTTTACCCCTACCTTTAGGAATGATATTTAGAATTTGTTTTTATTTTGCTGTCTGTAACTACTCTGTGACTTTGGTAACAATAAATTTAAATTATGTTCTTTTTATTTTTTACTGTAATATTTTGTTAATAAACTTGTAAAAACTGATGTTTACAATTTTTCATTGCCTATTTCTATCAAGTTGGAACCAGTTACCATATTTTACATATAAGTTCAAATAGTGTAAATTCGAATAATGTGACCACTTCAAGGGATTTATTATCTGCACTGATCAAGAACATGTATACTAAATCGCAGTGTTACTGAATATGCATGCAAGTGTTTGGCTTGTATATTTAAGGACTTAATTCCTCTCTTGTTATAAAGGAATGACTATGGTGGATCATGCATTTCAGAATCGTCACTGAACAGCTGCTATTTAGTCCCACAAATCCCTGCTGTTATGGATCTGGGAAACTAATTACTGTCATTGGGAAAGCCTACAATTGGACTCGGGTCACATCTTCACACACTTGTCTTCTAAGATTAACTTTAATATTGTGACATGTAGACCCAATGCCAAGTAACAGCTATGTAAACAGGCAAAAGTACAACAACCATTGTGGTAACTTTGTTTCTCCAGAAACAAGAGAACATGCAATAATGGAAGAGTCATTTTCTGTGTGGTCCATACCGGGGCTGTATTACGAGGACTAGTAGTTTGGGTGAATCAGGTGTATAGTGCAAAAGGAAGAATTAGCAATACCATGCTATATGTGCAATATGTACACTTGACAAAAGGCCAAGCATAGTCGTAAGAGAGAATCCCATCCTCACCTCAGAGAGGATGTTACATGAGGGCTATGACTGTAAGGGCTCAGTTGAACAAAAAATCTCTGGTCATGAGCCTCAAGGGGCTTGGCTCTAAGATGAACTGATTGCCAGTAAACCACCAATCATAAAGTGACACTGACTTTTGTTGAGTCCATTGAAAGTTACAGTCATGAGAAGTGAGACACTGATAGCTGAGGTTGGGAACAATTTAGGAATACAGTCATGGAGTTGTTGGTATCACAGTCAGCATTTTTAGAAAATCAGATACTGATAATGCCTTAGTGTTATATTTAATATGAAATTCTGGGGCATTATTTTCAGGATTTGCAGAGTATATACTGTCTGAAATAATTCTGATGTGTTTTCAAGTGAAAGATGCAAGTATGCAGCTGTCATTCTCCCCATTTACAGTATGTCTTTCTGCATGTGACAAACCACTGAACAGATTTTCATGGAATTTGATGTAGTGGAGTTTATTGTAATGGACATTTTCCATGAAGACTTAGTGCATTTCTGCATGCACTTTGTATGTAACCCGCTAAATATTTATCAGTATTAGAAATGTTGCAAACAAAAGATGTGGAGAAAGCTGAAAACACACATTTTATACTGATCACACTTTTTCTGTAAATCTTACCATTTTTGAGACAATTGGACAAAAGGAATGAACATGACAGATTCATTACTTTGTGTATACAGTTTGTAACATGTTCATAATGTAGATATGATATTACAGGTAGGTGCAAATGCTGGCATAGTGGGCATGACAAAAGAACACTTGGGACTAGCGCTGGCATTGAGCGTACCAGTATTTGTGGTGGTGACCAAAATTGATATGTGCCCACCAAATGTCCTGCAGGATACACTGAGACTTCTGGTACGAATACTGAAGTCCCCTGGCTGCAGGAAGGTACCTGTTATGGTTAAATACAGTGATGATGTCGTCATTAGTGCTACAAATTTTGTGTCAGAAAGGTGAGATTAAACAAACTGTGAAAACCAATTGCATAATCTGGAAGTTTAACTTAGAACAGATTACTCAAGCAATCCTGGTACCTGTTTTGTAGGTTGTGTCCAATATTTCAAGTTTCCAATGTTACTGGGGAGAATCTGAACCTTCTGAAGATGTTCTTGAACCTCCTGACTGCAAGGATGATAAGCCGAGATGATGAGCCAGCTGAATTCCAAATAGATGACACCTATTCAGTTCCTGTGAGTGACATTTGAGTTGTATTAAGGTAGACATGTTGACATGTACACAAACATATAAGTTGCATTCCATTCTTACATTAGCTTTCACAGGTAAACATATTATTTTTTAGCCTACTTTGCTTACTTTGAAGAAATAAAAGGAGGCTTATGAGATCACCTTCCTGTGTGTATACCCTCTGATTCTTTGAGAGATAAAAGGCTAATCATATCACGGTGTCTTTGTATCCCCCCCCCCTAATTTTTTTATTTTCTGTGTTGTCCATGTTATATCAAAGGAAAGTAGTCAGTACTTGGTTTGGCCATATAACTGAATTGTGCAATTTCTTGTTTTACACAGGGAGTTGGGACCGTAGTGTCAGGCACAACCTTGAAGGGTGTGATCCGCCTGAATGACACCCTCTTGCTTGGACCAGATACGCTAGGGCACTTCATACCGATTGCAGTAAAGAGCATCCATAGGAAACGCATGGTTGTAAGAGAAGTGAGGGGAGGCCAGACTGCATCCTTTGCCCTGAAGAAGGTCAGCCAGTGTGCAGTGTAAAATAACTGAAATCTTATCTTGCACTCAGCCATGTCATAGTTGAGCTCAAGACCATTTTTAAGATTTCCTCTGTCTCTGAAACATTGGATTTTGGCTCAGTCATGATCCAGTTCCTAGCATGAGAGGATTTCAGTGTGTTTGTGAATTCATCTTGAAAGTTTTATAAATATTACATAGTACAAAGTTTAGGTGTATTGTTTGGTTTGATGTTAGTAATTAATGAAGCAGTGGAGCCAGGCATGTATGATGACAAATCATAAACATATCTACATTATCCTACAATATTATATTTAAGCATCCTGTTGCACTCTACACGATAAATGATACAAACTCCGTCCTAAGTGCAAACAATATACATTTATATGTCTTTG